TTTTCTCCCATTCTGTAGGCTGCCTGTTCACTCTGAGGATAGTTTCTTTTCTGTGCAGAAGCTCTTTAGTTTAATTAGATCCTATTTGTCAATTTTGGCTTTTGTTGCAATTGCTTTTGGTGTTTTAGTCATGAAGTCTTTGCCCATGCCTATGTCCTAAATGATATTGCCTAGGTTTTCTTCTAGGGTTTTCATGGTTTTAGGTTTTAGGTTTTAAAATCTTGAGTTAATTTTTGTATAAGGTGTAAGGAATGGGTCCAGTTTCTGTTTTCTGCATATGACTAGCCAGTTTTCCCAGCACCATTTCTTAAATAGGGACAGTGTGGTGATTCCTCAAGGATTTAGAACCACAAATACCATTTGACCCAGCAATCCCATTACTGAGTATATACCCAAAGGATTATAAATCATTCTACTATAAAGACACATGCACACGTATGTTTACTGCAGCACTATTTACAATCGCAAAGACTTGGAACCAACCCAAATGTCCATCAATGATAGACTGGATAAAGAAAATGTGGCATATATACACCATGGAATACTATGCAGCCATAAAAAAGAATGAGTTCATGTCCTTTACAGGAACATGGATGAAGCTGGAAGCCATCATTCTCAGTAATACTAACACAGGAACAGAAAACCAAACACCACAGGTTCTCACTCCTAAGTGGGAACTGAACAATGAGAACACATGGACACAGGAGGGGAACATCACACACCAGGGCCTGTCAGGGGATGGGGGACAAAGGGAGGGAGAGCATTAGGACAAATACCTAATGCATATGGGGCTTAAAACCTAGATGATGGGTTGATGGGTGCAGCAAACCACCATGGCACATGTATACCTTTGTAACAAACCTGCACGTTCTGCACATGTATCTCAGAACTGAAAGTCAAATTAAAAAAAAAAAAAAAAGAATCAGCTTGTCCATATCTGAAAAACACAGGCAGTTGAAATTTAAATTGGGATTACCTTGAATCTATAGATCAAGGGATGGGGGTATCACCATGTTAATAATAATAAATCTCCCAATTCATGCATATAGAATGTGTTTCCATCTATTTAGATCTTTCCTAATTTCTTCCAATGTTTTATAATTTTCAGCATACAAGTTCTACAGTTCTGTGAAAGTCACTGTTATTTTGTTACTGAGTCTTATCTCTTCTGATGCTATTGTAAATAAAACGGTTTTCTTGATTTCATTTTTGAATTGTTTATTGCTAGAATATGGAATTACAATTGATTTTTATATATTGATCTTGTCTCCTGCAACCTTGCTGAACTTGCTTTGTTTGTTCTAATAGTTTGTGTGTGTGTGTGTGCTTGTGTGAATTCCTTAGGATTCTGTCTATACGAAATCACGTCACCTGTGAATAGAGATAGAACTACCAGGCCGGGCACGGTGGCTGATACCTGAAATCCCAGCACTTTGGGGAGGCCGAGGCAGGCAGATCATGAGGTCATGACAGAGATCGAAACCAGCCTGGCCAACATGGTGAAACCCCATCTCTACTAAAAATACAAAAATTAGCTGGGTGTGGTGGCACGTGCCTTAATCCCAGCTACTCAGGAGGCTGAGGCAGGAGAATTGCTTGAATCAGGCAGGCGGAGGTTGCAGTGAGCTGAGATCTGCACTCCGGCCTGGGTGACAGAGCAAGGCTCCCTCTCAAAAAAAAAAAAAAAAAAAAAAATATATATACACACACACACACACACACACACACACACACACATATAAATATACACACACACAGAACATCCAGTAAAATATTGCATAAAAATGGTGAGAATAGACATTATTGTCTTCATCTCAGGGAGAAAGCATCCAGTTTTTCTCAACTAAATATGATATTAGCTGTGAGTCTGTCACAGATGGCTTTTATGAAGTTGAGGAAATTCCTCTTTATTCCTAGTTTGTTGAGTATTTTAATAATGAAAAGGGATTGGATTCTGTGAAAAGCTTATCCCGCATCAATTGAGATGCTCATATACTTTTTATGCTTTATTAATATGGTATATTACATTGATTTTCATATGTTATGCAAACCTTTCATTCCTCAGATAAATTTCACTTGGTCATGGTAGGTAATCCTCTCTATATGTTGTTTAATTCAGTTTGCTAGTATTTTGTTTAGAATTTTTGTGTCAATATTGGTCTACAGTTTTTTTTGGTTTTGGCATCAGGGCACAACTGGCCTTATAAAATGATTTAGTACATCTTCACTCTGCTTCTATTTTCTGGCAAAGTTTGAGGAGGAATGGTGTTAATTGCTGTTTAAATGTTTGGTAAAATTCACCAGTAAAGTCACTTTTCTTTGTGACTTTTAAAATTACTAATTCGGCTGGGTGCGGTGGCTCACGTCTGTAATCAAAGCACTTTGGGAGACCGAGGCCGGTGGATCACCTGAGGTCAGGAGTTCAACACCAACCTGACTAATATGGTGAAACCCTGTCTCTACTAAAAACATAAAAATTAGCCGGGTGTGGTGGTGTGTGCCTATAGTCCCAGCTACTTGGGAGGCTAAGGCAGGACAATTGCTTGAACCAGGGAGGCGGAGGTTGCAGTGAGCTAAGATCACGCCACTGCACCCCAGCCTGGGTGACAGAGCAAGACTCTGTCTCAAAAAATAATAAAATAAAATAAAATAACTAATTCAATAGTTTTACTTGCTGTAGATTTATTCATATTTTCTATTTCTTCATGAATCACTCTTGATTTGCATTCTAGAAATGTGTCCATTTCCTCTAGGGTATATAATTTGTTAGCACACAATTGTGTAGAGTATTCTCTTATAAGTTTTTCTATTTCTGAAAGCTGGGTAGTGATGTCTCCTCTTTCATTCCTGATTTTAGTATTTGAGTCTCCCCTTTTTTTTCTTGGTCAGTACAGCCAAAAGTTTGTGAATTTTGTTGATCTTCTCAAAGAAACAATTTTCGGTTATTTTTAGTTTCTCTTTTTAAATTTTCTATTTCATTTATTTCCTTTTTAGTCTTCTTTCTTTCTCTTTCTTCCTGGCTTTCTTTCTTTCTGCTTGTTGTAGATTTAGTTTGCCCTTCTTTCTTTAGTATCTAAGAAAGTAGGTTATTGATTTCTTCTTTTCTAATTCATAGGGACAGCTCAAAATGTCCCTATAAGCATTGCTATCACTGCTATCCCATACGTTTTGGTACCTTATATTTTCATTTTCATTCATCTCAAAGTATTTTCTAATTTCTCTTGTGATTTTTTTTTCAATATAGAGAAGGGGTCTCACTCTGTCTGTCACCCAGATTGGAATGCAGTGGTGCGATCGTTGCTCACTGTAACTTTTAATTCCTGGGCGCAAAGGATCCTCCCACCTCAGCCTTCCAAAGCACTGTGATTAGAGACACGAGGCGCTGTGCCAGGTCATCTTGTGATTTCGTCTTTGACCCACTTGTTATTTAGGAGTATGCAGTTTAATCTCTTGTGAATTTCTCAAATTTCCTTCTGTTCTTGATTTCTAATGTTATTCTGTTGTGGTCAGAGAACATATTTTGTATGGTTTCAATCCTTTAACATTGACTGAAGTTTGTTTTACGGCCTAACATATGGTCTATCCTGGAGAATGTTTCATATTCACTTGAGGAAAATGTTTACTCTGCTGCTTTTGGGTGGTGTCTTACACTTGTCTTTTAGGTGTAGTTGGTTTATCTTGTTCTTTGTCTTCCATTTATCATTGATCTATCCAGTTATCCTATGAGTTATTGAAAGGTGGGAACTGAAGTCTCAAACTATTTTTGGTGGCTTATCTATTTCTTATCTATTCTGTCAGGTTTTGCTTTATGTATTTTGGTGCTGTTAGGCACATGTGTTTAAAACTGTTCTATCTTCCTGATTGACTTTTTTATTATAAAAATGTCCTCTTTATCTCTGATGACATTTTTTGTCTTAAAATTTATTTTGTCTAAAATTAAAAGAGCCATTCCGCCTGCTTTTGTTTTTTGTCTTTTTGAGATGGAGTCTTGCTCTGTCACCCAGGCTGGAGGGCAGTGGCACCATCTCAGCTCATTACAGCCTCTGCCTCCCAAATTCAAACAATTCTCATACCTCAGCCTCCTGAGTAGCTGAGAGTACAGTCACCTGCCACTACGCCCAGCTAACTAACATTTGTATTTTTAGTAGAGACGGGATTTCACCATGTTGGACAGACTGGTCTTAAACTCCCGACCTCAAGTGATCCACCCACCCTGGCCTCCCAAAGTGCTGGGATTACAGGCGCCTGCCACTATGCCCAGCAACGTTTGTATTTTTAGTAGAGATGGGTTTTCGCTATGTTGTCTGGGCTGTGTATCTGCTTTTGAATACTGTTTGCATGGTGCGTCTTTTTCTATCCTTTTACTTTCAACCTATTTGTGTTCTAAGAAAAAACAGCTAACTTAGAAATGAAATATTTCTGCTAAGTGTATATATATATATATATATTTTTTTTTTTTTTTTTTTTTTTTTGAGACGGAGTCTTGCTCTGTCACCCGGGCTGGAGTGCAGTGGCACCATCTCAGCTCACTTCAAGCTCTGCCTCCCAGATTCACACCATTCTCCTGCCTCAGCCTCCCGAGTAGCTGGGACTACAGGCACCTGCCACCACACCAGGCTAATTTTTTTTGTATTTTTAGTAGAAACGGGGTTTCACCATGTTAGCCAGGATGGTCTTGATCTCCTGACCTCGTGATCCACCCGCCTCAGCCTCCCAAAGTGTTGGGATTACAGGCAAGAGCCACCGCATCTGGCCTCTGCTAAGTATATTTTTATTTCAGGTTTTAAAATGCAACAAATGAGTTTTAAAAATCCACTTAATGAAATGAAAACAATTAACATCAAGAAAATAAAAGATACTTTTGTTTTCTCCAACACTCAACCAGTCTTTGATTTAACTTATAAGGATTTATTCTTCAAAATCAGATGTGATTTTTAAGAATATCATCTTCAAAATTAAGTAGCATCTAATGGTCTGCCATTCTTTTTCTGTCAAACCAGCAGAGGAAAGAAATTCCTAAGCAAGGAACACTACTCAGAAAGTACTGTACCATGTCTTCAAATGCCTGAGGATCAAGTTGGAAAACTGGAAGCAACAGAAAACACAGTAAGGTAACTGATTTCACCTGGGGAAAGTCACTTCCTGTTTTGTTTTTGTTTTTGTTTTTAAAGAGACAAGTTCTCACCATGTTGCCCAGGCTGGTCTCGAACTCCTGGCCTCAGGCAATCCTCCCACCTCAGCCTCCCAAAGTGCTGGGATTACAGGTGTGAGTCATTACACCCACCCAAAAGTCACTTCCTAAATGTCAATGTACAAAATATGTAGGACACCTATGTGTAGCTAGTTGGCTATTTTAGCAAAGCACCGCCCAATCGAAATATAATACTAGCCACAAATACAAATCACATATGCAATTTTAAAGTTTCTAGTAGCCATATTTTAACAAGTAAAAAAAAAGATGAAATTAATACATTTAACAATAGTTTATTAATAAATATAACTAATATATTTTATTTAACCCAATATATTAACATTTCTACATGTGACCAATATAAAATTGTTATTCCTAATTTCCTACTAAGTCTTTGAAATTTACTGTGTATTTTACACTTAAAGTATATCTCAGGCCAGGCACAGAGGCTCACTGTAATCCCAGCACTTTGGGAGGCTGAGGCGGGTGGATTGCGAAGTCAGGAGTTCGAGACAAGGCTGGCCAAGATGGTGAACCCCCATCTCTACTAAAAATAAAAAATAAAAAAAATTAGCCAGGCATGGTGGCGGGCGCCTGTAATCCCAGCTACTCAGGAGGCTGAGGCAGGAGAATCGTTTGAACCCAGGAGGCAGAGGTTGCAGTGAGCCGAGATTGTGCCACTGCACTCCAGCCTGGGCGACAGAGTGGGACTCCATCTCAAAAAAAAAAAAGCATATCTCAGCTCGAACACGCCATATTTCAATTGGTCAACAGTCATAATGGCTAGTGGATACCATAATGGGCATTGCAACTGTAGTATTGAAAGTCGGAAAGAGCCTTTAAATGCTCTGTGATAATCAAATCAAACTTGATCTTTTTCTTAACCACAATTATTATGCATTCCTGTAACATGATCACTTATATAATGGAAATATAAAAATGCAATAGTCTAACAGGTAGATGTCCAATCAAAATTAAAGTTACAAATTTTAGAGGTTGCAATCCGTATTAGCAATGACAGCCACTATTTATTAAGCATTTACTCTGTGCCCGGCACTACTGCCAGGTATTTTAGTCAGTAGTAAAAAATACTTCTATTGGCCAGGCGCGGTGGCTCAAGCCTGTAATCCCAGCACTTTGGGAGGCCGAGACGGGCGGATCACGAGGTCAGGAGATCGAGACCATCCTGGCTAACACGGTGAAACCCCGTCTCTACTAAAAAATACAAAAAAACTAGCCGGGTGAGGTGGCGGGCGCCTGTAGTCCCAGCTACTCGGGAGGCTGAGGCAGGAGAATGGCGTGAACCCGGGAGGCGGAGCTTGCAGTGAGCTGAGATCCGGCCACTGCACTCCAGCCTGGGTGACAGAGCGAGACTCCGTCGCAAAAAAAAAAAAAAAAAAAAAAAACTTCTATTATGCCCACTTCAGAGAAGAGGAAACTGGGCTTGAGGAAGGTTAACTTGGGCAAGATCACACAGCATGTAGGTTGTGAAGCTATCATTTGAACTTGCACATTGGCCGGCTCTGGAGCCTCTGCTCCCAGCCTCCCTAAAATCAGTCCCTCCACCTGCAGATATCCACTGAATCTCAAATATAAAACTAAGAAAGGGCACAAAAGAAGACAATCAAGTCAAAATTTCCCTGGCCTGTGTTCCATTCCACAATTTACTGAGGGCCTATTGTGCACAATGTCCCTCAGGACTGATAGGGTCCCACTTGCCCCTGGCTGGGTGCACTGACTGTATGTAACAGACTGCTTCAGAGCAGGAACTTGAAAGTTTTCATAAAAAAGCAGTTGAAAAAAAATGTGAATAGTTCAGCATATTTTCAATAAACCATATTTCAATCGTTCCCAATTTTTTTGTGGCTCTTATCTAGGCAGTAGAAAACATCAATATTAGAGTCAGAAATCTTACTTATCAGCCAAGTGTCTACTGAATATGGGTAATCCATTCCATATACCATTTTACTCTGCACAATTGGGAGACCAACAGAAAATATGCAAGTAGATTTTATATAAACAGAAATGGGATGCACATGACTATGCACCAGATGCAGCTTTAAGAGTCATTACTTGTTTAAGGCCAGGCATGCTGGCTCAAGCCTGTAATCCCAGCACTTTGGGAGGCCGAGGTGGGAGGATCGCTTGAACCCAGGAGTTCAAGACTGTCCTGGGCAATATAGCAAGGGCCCAGCTCTCAAAAAACAAACAAAAAGACTAATTACTTGCTTAAGGTCACATTTAACTCCCAAATCCATCTTACTAATAAAAGATGATAATTATTGAGTATCTACTTATGCAGACACCATACTATGTGAATTTACATATATCGTCCTAACTTTCAAAACACTCCTATGAAGAACTATTATTCCAATTTTACAGATAAGAAAACAAAGCCAGCATTCTTTTTCATTGTACCAGGTTAATTATTAATAAAAATAATATATGCCACCAGCTTACACTGGTGTAGTTACAGATTATAACGCTTTGATTTATATCATCTAAATTGACCCTCATAATAAATTGTGATATCAAAAGCATAAGAGCTTACAAATACCAAGATAAGGAGTCACAGAGACCCGAGGCAACTTAAAAAAAATTAGATTATTCACTTGGGAGAATCTTATGTCATTTGCATTCAGCATTCTATGAACCAGAAAGGGCAGACAAAACCAAATTCTATCCCAGTTGAGAAAAGCTTTCACAGAGGTCTTACAAGCCTAACTTCTCCAACTTTCTCCCATTTCCAGAACACGCCCGTCAACATGGGAGCCCATAAAACTAAGAGCAGTAGCAGGAGAGGATTCTGATGCACTCTAGTTAAGGAGCCTTGTCTCCTGCAGTATTACAAACAGGTCACACCCAGGCTGCGCAGTACTTCCTAACAGCAAAAATCCTAAACTACCTAGATTTCACGTACCAGTTGAGAGACACTTCGTTTTAAGAGGGGTTGCAAATGCTCCAAGCAAATTTGCCTCCAGCACTTAATGGAAGTAATGTCAAGTCCAATAAATTGCAAGGGAAAGGAGCTGGCCATTCACAGGATAAACCACTAAGTACATTACTTTGGGGCAATTTTGTTTTTGTTTTTTTATTTTAACGTGGCCAAAGCAATGGCAGCGAATACGGAGTGAGCAAAACTCAAAGTTTTCTATCCTTGCATTTTTACTTCCAATTATAGGTTAATGCTAGAAGAACTTTTATGATTAATAATATTATACTTTTTATTATCCCCATTTTATAGATGAGAAATTGAGGCTTAGTGACATTAAGCACTCGAGGTTACACAGCTAGTAAGAGACTAAAGATACAAATCCTCTAGACTCAAGTTCAAGGCTCTTTACCTTCCACCATTTGATCTCCTTGGGAAATAAATAAATCTATACTGCTGCAAGCTGCCTTTATGCAATATCTATTTTCTTTTCTTTCTTTCTTTCTTTTTTTTTTTTTTTGAGAGGAGTCTCGCTCTGTTGCCCATGCTGTAGTGCAGTGGCATGATACTGCCTCACTGCAACCTCTGTCTCCTGGGTTCAAGTGATTCTCCTGCCTCAGCCCCCCAAGTAGCTGGGATTACAGGCATGCACCACCATACCCAGCTAATTTTTTTTGTATTTTTAGTAGAGATGGAGTCTCGCCCTGTTGGCCAGGCTGGTCTCAAACTCCTGACCTCAGGGGATCCACCTGCCTCCCAAAGTGCTAGGATTACAGGCGTGAGCACCCGGCCCCTGAGTTATTTTCTTATAAGAAAATGATACTCTTATAAACTATAAGGACACTCTCTATGAGAAATGGACTTCTAAGTGCAGTAAGCTTCCCAGAAGGCTGAGCATTATAAACTCTCCAGAATGGCGAGCCTGCTACCAAAAATACAGTCCCCACCTAAGAGGTTTTCTGGACACCAGAACTAGTCTCCATTGTCAGGACATCTGCTATCTACCCCAAGTTTACTGGAATTTCTCCCATTTTTGGAGGGGGGTGGGTGGTCTCTTCATTCATTAACCTTAAAATGCTTCTCCTTCCCTTTTAATTGGATATTTAAAATGTTAAAATAAGGTTGGACTGTGATTTTGTGTTCTAGCAGTTGATGTCACCACTAATACAAAATTGTTTTGTTTTTAGACTGCCTGAAATAATCTTAGGTTTACGCTTTGCCTCATTAAAAAAACAAGCTCCTGGCCGGGTGTGGTGGCTGAGGCCTGTAATCCTAGCACTTTGGGAGGCCAAGGCAGGAGGATCACCTGAGCTCAGGAGTTTGAGACCAGCCTGGGTAACAGGGCGAAACCCCATCTCTACCAAAACTACAAAAATTAGCCAGGTGTGGTGGCTTGTGCCTGCAGACCAGCCACTTGGAGGGGCTAAGGTGGGAGGGGCTTGAGCCCAGGAGGTGGAGGCTGCAGTGAGCCGAGATCACACCACTGCTCTCCAGCCTGGGCAACAGAGCGAGACTCTGTCTCAAAATAATAACAATAACAATAATAATAGTAACAAAAATCTGCAAACTTGATTGAAATTTCTATCATTTAGTAACTATTAAGCAAATATATGTAATCTACAGACTCATTGCCAATAAAAACACATACCACAACAGGTGTTAAAAAGTAACTGGAGATCCGGCCATACCCTAAGCAAGCCCCTAGGCAATTTATCAAATTTCGCTGTTGACCTAGTCATTTGAATGAGTTGTTTTTGTCTGTAATTCTTTTTTTTTTTTTTTTTTTTTTTTTTTGAGATGGAGTCTTGCTCTGTCACCCAGGCTAGAGTGCAATGGCGCAATCTCAGTTCACTGTAACGTCTGCCTCCCAGGTTCAAGCGATTCTCCTGCCGCAGCCTCCTGAGTAGCTGGGATTACAGGCGCCCACCACCAACCTGGCTAATTTTTGTATTTTTGGTAGAGACGTGCTTTCACCATGTTGGCCAGGCTTGTCTCGAACTCCTGACCTCAGGTGATCTGCCCACCTCGTCCTCCCAAAGTGCTGGGATTACAGGCGTGAGACACCATGCCCAGCCTTAAAATCTTAATAACCTTGGCTGATGATGAAACCTCCTCAGAATCCAGACACCCCAACTACCCACACACACACACACACACACACACACACACACACACAAACCCAAAATCAAACAAAAACAAAACTGCCCCAAAGTAATGTGCATAGTGGTTTGTCTAGAAGAAATAACGTGGCATGAGAATGAAAACTTGTCACATCTAAGAAATAGAAATTCAACAAAGATAGGTCTGCAGACCTCCTGTAGAGAACCCATCATTGTCATGGCCCAAAACTTTCTAAGAGAATTTTCTCTAGGAATCAATTAGAATCCGTTAGGAAAAAATCTTGGCTGGCCATCACAATTGCACGTGGATCCCAGGGCTCAGCCCAGATTCTGGACACAGTGGCCAAGATTTAAAATCATTCACCAAAGAGCAAATGCTTTGACTTTCAAAGAGCAGAACTGCAGCAGAATAGCCAACAGGAAATTAAATTCCCTAAGTTAAATACTATGTACTGCCAGCTGTGTAGAGCTACTCTCCATCTCTCCCAATATGAAACCTCCTCACTAGAGATGTAGCGTCCCTTTGGGGCAGAAATGAATTGTTTTCGTAGCTGGGCACGGTGGCTTGTGCCTGTAATCCTAGCACTTTGGGAGGCCGAGGCGGGGGGTGGAGAGGGTTATCCCCTGAGGTCAGGAGTTCGAGACCAGCCGGGCCAACATGGTGAAATCCCGTTTCTACTAAAAATACAAAAAAGTTAGCTGGGCATGGTGGCACATGCCTGTAATCCCAGCTACTTGGGAGGCTGAGGTATGAAAATTGCTTGAACCCGGGAGGCAGAGGTTGCACTGAACCGAGATTGTGCCACTGAACTCCAGCCTAGGCGACAGAGCGAGCCTTCCACTGACACCCTTAGCCCAATGTATTGGATACAACAGGGTATCAACAAAAGTACCCTTTGATTTGTACACCCCTCTCTCTGCCTTTGGCAGCCCCAGCAGTTAAAGAACATTGCGTGTATTATCTACGCATTAGAATGCTGAAATTGAAATTACGCCTCTGGGTTCCTAGACCGAGATTGAGATATCAACCCTGTAAACCAGGGCTCCTTTAGGAAGAAAGGTGTTTCTTGACGTTCCCAAATCATTGCGAGAACAGCATCCCTAAACAAGGGATTCAAGGGAATAGTCACAGATCCTCGGGTGGAGGCATCTTTGCTACGTGGACGTGCGAAGACGACCGCGGGCTGGGGACGGGCAGCCTGGCGGGAGAGCCCCGGGCTGAGTAACCCCTCTTCCGCGAAAGCCCCAGGCGTGAGTCACTGGCGGGCGCGGCAGGAGGAAGGGGCGCCCTGAGTCCATAGTCCTGGGGGAGGTCGGAGGGTCTGACAACAAGAGGAGTCTGTGGGTGGAAGGTACCTAGGAAGTGGGTCTAAAGGGGCTGCTGCCTTCCTAGATGTGGGTAAAGGGCTGGATCCCAGGGGGAGAAGGACCGAAGGGGTGGGGCCCGCTCTTGCGGCCGCGGGGAGGGGCCGGGGGTCCGCGAGAAGGAGGCCGACCAGCCCGCGGCGCCGAAATCTCCCGCGCTCAGGAGCTGGCCCCTCCTCCCGGCCAGGCCTCAGGCCCATCGCCGCGGCCGGGCCCGCCGGCCGGCTCCTCCCGCTGTCCCCGCGACGCAGCCCCGGCCCCAGCCCAGGCCTCGACCCGGACCACGACCCCGATCCCAGCCCTGGCCCGGCTGCGTAGCCGCCAGCCGACCCCACCCGCGCACAGCCGGCGGCCCACGGCGCGCGGCCAGTGACGGCACCGCAGGGTGCGTGGCCAATCAGCGCGGCCCCCGAGGAGGCGGCCTCGGCCCCGCCCCCCTGCGCCCAGGGCCAGTGAGGCGCCGGCGCCGGCGGCCGCGGCGGGGTGAGAGGCCGCGAGGCCCCGCCCCGTCCTCCCCTTTCCCCTTTGCCCCGCCCTTCCCGCCCGGCCCCCCCACAGCCCCGCGCCGCCGCTGGTGCCGGTCCCCGCGCTGGGCCCGCCCCCGCCCCTCCCGCGGCCCGCGAGCGCGCCTCACGGCTCCTGTCTCCCCTCCCTCCTTCTCTCTCACGCCTAGCGCAATGGCGGCGGCCGCGGCGGAGCAGCAACAGTTCTACCTGCTCCTGGGAAACCTGCTCAGCCCCGACAATGTGGTCCGGAAACAGGCAGAGGTAACCGAGTTCACCGCCCCCGTCTCCGCGCCCTGGCCGGCGCGCCGACCCTTTCCCGACGCCGGCAGCGCCGGGCCTCGGCCGGTCCGCGGCGGCCGCGCAGGCTGGGCCCGGCGGGCGGCGGCCGCGCAGCCCACGTGTGAGGCGGCCCGCGGCTCCCGGTTGTGCCCCCGGGCTTTTCCGGCCATTGCTGCCGCGGCGCCCGACACCAGTTACCTCCCTGCCGCCGCTCGCACCCACGTGCGGCCGCTCCCGACGCGCTGCCCCAGTCCAGGTGTGGGGTGCCGGGCGGGCCCGGGGCCCCAACTTCGCTGGCCACCCCCTTTCCGAGCTCCCCGCTCGCCCCTTTCCCGCTTTCTCCCAGCGGGAGCCCCCACCGCCTTTCCAGCTGCTGTCTCCACCCAGCCTAGCGCTGTGGGTCTCCCAAACCCTGGCTGCTACCTTACCCGTCACGCCTGCTTCTACCCCCTGCTCATCTCCCACACCGTCTGTCCCTCTCTTTTTAAATGTGTACCTTTCCTTGTCGCTGCTGCCTTTTTTCATTTAGTTCTTTCTCATTTTAGTTCCTAACATCAGAAGCCAGATTTCCCTACCCCTTTCCACCCCCAGTTCTGTGAAGTTGCCTTTAGGGTTTCTTTCTATGCAGTTTCCACCTTACTCTGGGCTTGTAATACACTTACTCTGCTCTTCCTTCAGACAAATTTTCTTTGCTCTCTAGAGAATCGTGGGATAAATGGGATGTAGTGGGACTTCCGTTGTTTAACTGGGCCAGTACCATATGTTTAAGTCTTCAACTTCATTAAATATAACCGTAATCTGTTTTTTCAAACCACCTCTTGTTCCTGGCCTCCAAAATGTGGAGATACTTTCAAGTGACAGTAATTTAAATATATCTGTAAGCTCATTTACCGGGTTCACTGGAAGACTGATGTTACATCGTCAGCGTTGAGACCACGATTATTATGGGATATTTCCAGGGGAGGGAGAAACTTTCCAGTTTCTTAGCTGACCGCTAAACTTGGTTATATATGGGTTTTTTTGCAACCATGAGATTGAAGAGTTTTATAAGATTAAATGAAGGATGTTCAGCCGGATATTTTTAAAGAGCAAAAATTAATTTTGCATATAGCCAATGAAATTGACTACAGGTCCTCTTCTGAACTCAGGCCTGAAGACTTTTCCAGGTGTCCTTAAAACAAGTGTTAATCCTTGTTTTGAATAGATGGTGGATGTGCTGGTTATACTTAGAGGTTTTATATTAAGTGAAGTAAACACACCCAAAATTCTGTTCTATATGAAGAGGCATTTTCAACTATTCACTTTATTTTATATATGTAATACATGTTCAGGGTAAAAATTCAAACAGTGAATAGGTTCTTATCCCATTTCCCAAAGGTGACCACTTTTAAGTGTCTCGTGAGTCTTTCCTGAAATTTTAACATAAACATTGATTTTTTACTTGAATGGGCTTATAATACTATTTACACTATTTTGCAACTTGAATTTTTCACTCAGTATATTTCACATTGCCTCATAGGTGAGTTTTTTGGTCAGCTATAGATTATACATCATATGGATAGATATTTATATAAGCAACCTTCTATGAAATGGATATTGTGGTTTCCAGTGACCTGCTCTTTTAAAAATAGTGCTATGCACAGGAGTACATATATACCTATCTTTGCATACTTTCCCAGGTTTACTTGGAGAATACTGAAAAGTAGGATTTGTTCCTAGAAGTAATATGCATGTATTGCATCAATTTGCCTTGGGGATATGATGATGCTTAAAAAGAAAAAATTAATGCTTTCTGCTAACTCTTGAGATAATTTTTCGCCAAAATAAGTTTTTAATCCCAACGTATAATAGAAATTTCCATGTGTTACAAAGCAGAACAGCATTGTAATTAGTAAGCTAGTTTAATTCTCCCTCTTCCCTCCAGTTGCTTAAGTCTCTATTGTCAAGCCTAGTGGGGAATCTCTCTTCTATTGAACTAAATACCAGTGTCTGGTTTAGCTTGAATTCCAGTTGGTGCCTGTTGTAAATCTTTTATCACTTACATCACATTGGGGATAGTTATCAGCATTCAGCACATTTTCTCATAAAGAATAATTGGAAATAAGTACTGTTATTCTCTTAGTCTCTTTATTCCTAGTGAAAACATTCAGATACTAGGATTTTACTTTCTTTGTATATCCTGAGAATATATTAATATGTAAAGTAAGTATCACAGTACTTACTGTGATACAGAATTTTCTAATTTGACCCCCAAAAAAATAAATGTTAAGAGAAGTTCTCTGGTGCCATGTAATGTCCTTTTCTTTTTTGCCTAATGAAATAAGCGTTTTATAACAAATCAAATGAAATAAAATTAGCGTTAAGTCTGATACAGCAAATACAGAAATATTTTCTATGAACTGAAAAATTGGCCAGGGCTCAGTAAATATCTTTGTAATTTACTCATTCAAAATAAAAATACTTAGTTGACACATAAATACCAAACTGTTGACTAAGGTGACTTCTTTTGTATTCAAATATGGTTATATATTTGGTTGATATCATTGAAGGGATGTCAAAACTCTAAAAAGTTAAAACTTTTTTCATCGTATACGCCATTCAATAGGCTTTATAGTTTATTTCTATTTTTTAAAACCTGTAAGGATATTAACTTTATAGAAAATGTTTCTCATTTGAAGAAACATATGTGAATGTCCCTAAGTCTCAGAATACAATAACTATTGAATAAATAGTTGACAAGTAGTACAGAGTATTCATGGTATTTATCACTAGACATTTTTATACGACATAAGCTTAAGTATTTATTAATCATATGCATGGATTTTGTTTTTTTTTTTACTAAGGTTCTCCATACAGAATTTGTTCCTCATTGATTCTAATAGAGAATTTCATTGAGTGTTTTTTTGTAGAGATGGGGTCTTGCTGTGTTGCCCAGGCTGGTCTTGAACTCCTGGCCTCAAGTGATCCTCCCATCTCCCAAAGTGTTGGAATTACAGGCATGAGCCACCACACCCAGCCCGTTGTTGAGATTTCAATAGACAGCGGATAACAGTGAAAAATATACCTGATTGTTGAGGAACCAGGGTGTTAATAGATAAAAGTCATGCATCCCCTTTTACTTTTCCTCATACAAGGTAGGCTCACTATAAATATTTATGGAATGAGATGAGTACATATGAGCATTTCTTCATGGGCAGGGAAGAGGCAGAGAAGTCTTTGCATTGTGTAAATTGTATAAGGTGGAATCAGATAGAATTGAAATTTTTTTTGCCACAACACTGGTAACATTCATTGAACCTAAGGACTAGTGCTAGGAATAGTATTAGAAACAATCTTTATAATTCTTTTATGCTGATGTGCTGGGTACTCAGATACAAAGATAAAGAGTTACCATTCCTGTCTGTGTGGAACTTAGACTGTTTAACCATTATCCTTTTTTTTTTTTTTTTAATTATTATACTTTAAGTTCTAGGGTACATGTGCATAACGTGCAAGTTTGTTACATATGTATACTTGTGCCATGTTGCTGTGCTGCACCCATCAACTCATCAGCACCCATCAACTCGTCTAACCATTATCCTTGACCATTGTGATGGTATTGATGTAATACTGTATTTGGATTACCACAATGGAACATATCAGATGGAGAGAACCCTCTCTCAACAGAAGTCATCTGTCACTCATACTAAACTCTCCCACCATTGGCTTCTAATTCATTATGGAGTAGAGTTTAATATTTGACCCAATGTTGAATCTACTAGAGTTAGACCAACAGTCTACATAGTCAAACCAACAATTCCCCCTGGGCAAGAGTAGGGAGCTTCAGGATTTATATTAGGTTTTCTGAGAGTGATAGCCTAGTAAAGAAGTGTTTGGCCGGACACAGTGGCTCATGCCTGTAATCCCAGTACTTTGGGAGGCCGAGGCGGGTGGATCACGAGGTCAGGAGTTCAAGACCAGCCTGGCCAAGATGGTGAAACCCCGTCTCTACTAAAAATACAAACAAATTAGCCAGGCACAGTGGCAGGTGCCTGTAATCCCACCTACTCCGGACACTGAGGCAGGAGAATCGCTTGAACCTGGACAGCAGAGGTTGCAGTGAACCAAAATGGCGCCACTGCACTCCAGCCTGGGCTACAGAGTGAGACTCCATCTCAAAAAAAAAAAAAAAAAAGTTTTTGCAAAAACTTGATTTAGACTACTGGAAATTTAAGTGTTAAACATTGTTCACATTACCAGTGTATAAGTGGCTAAGTTGGGTGCTTTTTATTGTATAGTGAGATACTTTTTAAATGAAAACATTATACTGCTGGTATAAGGTAAATATTAAGTGAAAAGTCTCAAAGGTACATAACCAGGGCCGGGCGCGGTGGCTCCAGCCTGTAATCCCAGCACTTTGGGAGGCCGAGACGGGCGAATCACGAGGTCAGGAGATCGAGACCATCCTGGCTAACACGGTGAAACCCCGTCTCTACTAAAAAATACAAAAAACTAGCCGGGCGAGGTGGCGGCGCCTGTAGTCCTAGCTACTCGGGAGGCTGAGGCAGGAGAATGGCGTGAACCAGGGAGGCGGAGCTTGCAGTGAGCCGAGATCTGGCCACTGCACTCCAGCCTGGGCGACAGAGCGAGACTCCGTCTCAAAAAAAAAAAGACAAGAAAAGAAAAGAAAGATACATAACCATTTTCGCATTCAGCTTGTGGGTGTCTTTACCTAAGTTATGTCTTCTGGATAAGGAAATTCAGACCATCTTCTCAGCTGTGAGTGCTTTTTGGCACAGGTTTCAGCATTGTTATGATCCTATGTGCTTTTTACTAGAATGGGAACTTGAGGTTATCAGAAGATCTTGAATTCTCCTTTCCCCCAAAATCTGTTCTTCCCCAGACAGATCTGTTTGAAAAGTTTGAAAACTGTGTAGCACTGCATAAATATAATGGTGGTTTAATGAAGTGAAACAGCTTTCAGTACCAGAGAGATTTTGAATATGGTTGGCCTTAGAGGACCAGAGTTCTGTCTGCTATTCATTGTCTGTGATCTTGGGCAAGTCATTAACTTATAAGCTTTTATTTCCTTATCTGTTAATATCTCAGGGATGCCATGGGACACTTAGTAAAAGGTTTAAGGTAGATATGGATTCAAAATAGCCTTGTTTTTCCTCCCTTGTCACTTCGTTCCAGAGAAGCCGCGTAGATATAGAGATGTGGTAGCAATGAGAGCAGGTAAGCTCTAAAGAAATTAATGTTACCCACGTAAGACTCAACTCTAAATTGCTGGATAAGAATGGATTATCTATTTACTAGGAGGCTTCTTAGAGGAAGCAGTTCCAAGTGTACTTAAGTTGATTTCTTTTCCACAGTGAGCGAATTAGAATTCTTGCATATGAATCTGCACTTCTCTGGACAGCATATAGTTGGTTCTTGTTTTTTAATCCATTCTGATCATCTGTCTTTTAATTGGTGTCAACTTTTTGTTGTTAACCAATTTGTTGCGATTTTACATTATTAACAGAGTATAGAGTGTCCTGAGTCACAAACCTCTTGCTAATAGATTTACAAAAGACATTAAAGCCTCCTGGCCAAATTGATCCTGACCACATTCATTTATCTATGTAGTATGGTTTTAGTATGATCCTTGCTTGGAAGAAAATGTAGCATAAAGGATTTGAATACTTTGTTTCTCTGACTTATTTCCAGGTGTGTGTCTGGTGGTTCTAAGTAGTGGTAATTTGAACCAGTTGTACATCATCCAGTCTAAAAAATGTTAACAAAACAGTTTCTCATGATGTAAGGTGATTTTAAGTGAGCACTAATATTGGCAGCACAATGGCTTAAGTCACATTTGGCAATTTTTTGGCCCTCTTAGACCTTGAGTTTTGTTAACCAGGGATCATAAGTTGGGAAAACATGCACACACATTAGAGACATTTATTTAAGAGATACAGGTAGAAAGGAACTTGAGAACAACCCTTTGGACATCTTCTCTTTCCCAACATATCTGAAGTGTATTTCATGTCACAGAAGGTGTTAACACCAGACCTAGATTAAATAATTTCTCGTGCATCCTTCCCACTCTTCATTTCTTTCATTGATTTACTCATGAAGTTTTCTAACGTTCTTTCCTAACCATTTTTTCTTCCCACGCAGGAAACCTATGAGAATATCCCAGGCCAGTCAAAGATCACATTCCTCTTACAAGCCATCAGAAATACGACAGCTGCTGAAGAGGTACTACCTTAATATTTGTGACTATTACATTCTTAGAAAATAAGATGATGATCGTAGTAGAAGTGAGAATTGTGATTTACCACATAGACTTTACTAGAACTTTGTACTTATTATTTACTAAAAGCTACTTAGGAATTATAATGTAATTTTTTAAGTACTTTGTATTAATGATAATTGCCTTTTTTCCATATAAGATAATGTGTCTAGGGTAGATGAAGGTTAATGGTTTTATAAATTGCATAAGAATTATTAAAGTGATTTGATTTGATTTGATTGATTGATTTTGAGATGGAGTTTCACTCTGTTGCCCAGGCTTGAGTACACTGGCACCATCTCGGCTCACTGCAACCTCTGCCTCCTGGGTTCAAGCAATTCTCCTGCCTCAGCCTCCCGAGTAGTAACTGGGATTACAAGCCTGCGCCACCACGCCTGGTTAATTTTTGTGTTTTTAGTAGAGACGGGGTTTCACCATGTTGGCCAGGCTGGTCTCGAACTCCTCACCTCAAGTGATCCACCTCCGTCAGCCTCCCAAAGTGCTGGGATTACAGACATGAGCCGCCATACCCAGCCTAATTGAAGTGCTTTTTGCAGCTAAAAATCTTTCCTTGAAACAATTTATTCTGAAGAAGTAAATTAGTTCAGTGTTTTGATGTGTTATCAATGTTTTGGAAAAACATTTTTTTCCAATCTTTAAAAATTTATGCTTATAACCATCTCTAGATAAGTGTATGTACTAAAGATATACTTAGGAATGGAGACATTTTCTAGAATATTTTATTAGAATCATGGTTTTTAGCTAATTACCTACTTCCTATACCAAATTCAAATTTGTTTTCATTTTAAGAATTATTTTTGCCTATGGTAAAAATAAGGCTGTTTTCTGGGATTTTATAGTTTCATACTTCTGATTGAGGCATTTCGTAGCTAATTTTCCTCCCCCCACCCCCAATTATAAGTTAATATCCTCATAAATATTGAATGCCATTGAATATGTGTACTTTGGAAAAGGTATTAAAATACCCAAGTCTAGAAAACCATTCTACCTACAAAACATTACATTTAGAGTTCATAGTGTAAGAATTTTTTGCTAGCAGTCAAACTATATGTAAAATGCTTATCCTTGATGGAAATAAGTCATGCCAAACTTTTACATTATGTTTCACCTGACTTCTTCCAGTCAATCCATTTTCTCTAAGTAGATGAATAGTCAATCAGTTTAGACTAGCAACTTCATGTTCTCCCAACCACTTTAAAAGCCATATGAAAGTATCCCAGGTTTTTTTTCCTAGATGACAAGAGGTGCTTTTTTTGCTTTTGTAGCATGTTTTTTTCTGTAACTCAAAATGGATGTCAAATGTGAATAACCCTATATAGGGTGACTTCTATCACTAAAAACAGATGACTGTTTTAATTCTTGAAGATTAGTGCAAGTTAGCTAGTAAACAATTTAAAGCCAAGAATAATAATGAAAATTATTGAATTTTAATTTTAAAAACTTGTATTAAGCCTTATTTAAATCTTAACTTGATTTAAGAATTAGATGATTATTGTGAATTAGTGACAGCATCTTGATTATATCTTTAGTTTTTGGTATATGTGTGGGAAGAATTGCACGTGAGTTTTAACCACTTTTATAAGAATTGTAACCACTTTGAATTATTTCTAGAACATGTTAAATATTTGTAAAGGTTTCTACCTACCATAAATGTTTCAATAAAAAGATTTTTCAGTGAAAAGTAGTGGAGAAAAAAAATTATCAATTTTATTTGTATAGCTTAACATTTTTTGTTGGTCAAATTCCCAAAGTAATTATAGTGATAACGAGTAACATCAACTTGGAGAAATCAAGAGCAGGAAAGATTAGGTGCAGTATTCCCAATAGTTTATTGGTTCGATTTGATAAAATTTGAGTATGGCATTTGTCTTAGCTTTTCTTTTGATAATCTCAAGAAATGTTAAACAGAAAATGCCAAACTTAATTACACAGATTTGAAAATGAAAATCCAAGAATACACATGTTGAGATGGATTAGCACTTTTTAGGTATTGGGAACTTGTAATGTTTGTTTGCATGAAAGAAGCATTTTATCTAAGATGTTAATCAAAGGGCAGTTATGTAACAAGTTAAGTCAGTCTGGGAGCCTGAGGTTGGGTGGGAAAGGCACTTGATATTCTAGAATGAGACCAGACAGAGAGGTAGGAAAAGAGCATTCATTATAGGGTTTACAATTTAAGTTTTGTTTTTCTCCCAAATAATGTGTTAAAAATAGGGATTAAAGACAGGTTTATCATTGCTAAGATATGTGTTCGTAATTGAATTGTAATGTGATTAGGAGTTCTCCTCACCTTGAGTACAAATGGCTTATTTTGTGGCACTAAGAAAATAAGTCTATGTAATAGATAATGTAATTAGAAATAGTTATATTTACTTCTTTAGAAAATTAGCAAGGCGCTTTTGAAATATAAAAATACAATAGTGAAATACATCAGTGGCAGAGTGAATCTAGTTATTAACAATGTTGTCTATTTATAGGCTAGACAAATGGCCGCCGTTCTCCTAAGACGCCTCTTGTCCTCTGCATTTGATGAAGTCTATCCAGCACTTCCCTCTGATGTTCAGACTGCCATCAAGAGTGAGCTGCTCATGATTATTCAGATGGAAACACAATCTAGTATGAGGAAAAAAGTTTGTGATATTGCGGCAGAACTGGCCAGAAATTTAATAGGTGTGTATGCAGGTGCACTCATGTTACCAAAAACATGGGTATATCCTTCCTTTTTTTTTTTTTTAGTGGAATCTTACAGTAAGACTCATAAGTACCTGAGTAGCATTTATTCTGTTTAAAATGAGTGTGCTTGTGGATTTTGCATTTAGAGCCAGAAATTACAGACAGATGTTTGTGAAATCCAGTCATAGGACTTACCTGTTGGTATTCAAAGTACCCATGTGAGGCTAGGCACAGTGGCTCACGTCTGTAATCTCAGCACTTTAGGAGGCCAGGGTGGGCACATCGCTTGGGTCCAGCAGTTCAAGACGAGCCTGGGCAACATGGCAAAACCCCATCTCTACAAAAAATTAGTGGGCATGATGGTGTGCACCTGTAGTCCCAGTTACTTGGGAGGCTGAGATGGGAGATCACCCCAGAAGCTGGAGACTGCAGTAAGCCGTGATCATGCCACTGCACTCCAGCCTGGGCAACAAAGCAAGATTCTGTCTCAAAAAAAAAAAAAAAAAAAAAATCCATGTGGAAAAGTAATTTTATAATTTGCTTGAAAATGGACAGTTATATTTCCTTCTAAATCTATAATATTTTAGAAGCACGGGCTAATTAATGGTATAACCTACTTTGTACATTAAACTTGCCAGTTGAACTAAAAATCAGTGACTCCAGTGCTTTTGCTGTTGTATATGTATGCTGATAAATATATACATATACTGTTATGCAGCCATATACTATGTCTTTGTTTTGTTTTGTTTCTGTTTTTTTTTTAAGAGACAGTTTCACTCTTACTGCCCAGGCTGGAGTGCAATGGTGCGATCTTAGCTCACCACAACCTCTGCCTCCCAGGTTCAAGTGATTTTCCTGCATCAGCCTCCTGAGTAGCTGGAATTAGCTGGTGGCATGCACCACTACGCCCGGCTAATATTTTTTTGTATTTTTAAGGTTTCTCCATGTTGGTCAGGCTGGTCTGGAACTCCCGACTTTAGGTGAGATGTCCATCTCAGCCTCCCAAAGTGATAGGATTATAGTTGTGAGCCACTGTGCCCAGCCTACTGTGTACATTTTTATTGCCCAAAAAATATTTTTTTAAGTGAGGTAAAAGGCAAACATCATAAAATGCATTTTACTAAAGGTAAAAATCCTTTTTGGCCAACTAAAAATAATAATAATGTAATTGAACATGCTACTTTTTTATCTTGCTGCAAAAAGCTTTATTTCCATTTGGTCTAGGGCTTGGGAGAGATCTCCAGCGTGGTGGCTGGAGGGAGAGGCTCAGACAGAAACCCTGATAGTTTGAGGGGGACCCTCAGAGGTTCCTGGGCTTTTAGTGTTGTTTGATGATGAGCCTTTCGAAGAGACACTTGCCCAGCTCAACCTAGGAGCCAGCTAGCCTGTGGAGGTTGGTCACATGGTCACCCATCTTAATGAGTTTCACTTCCTCATCTAGGAAGTGGCTCTCCTAGAAGTCACAGAGATGGGAATCTGTGCAGGCAGAACCCACGGCATGAAGATCCAAAAGGGCCTGGTTCCTGGTTCAAGTTCTTCTCCAGGGCCATGACAGCTTCCATGGTGTCTCGGGTTTTGTCCCACTCATCTTTGTACTTCCTGCTCGTAGAAGAGAGTGTGGCCACCACTGTCTTTTTTTTTTGTTTGGACAGGCATTTATAAGTGTGATTGTAAGTGCAGCTTGTTTAGATGGCATTTTTAATAGTTGAAGATCAAGGTTAAATGGAACATTATTATTGATTGAGCTTAGTACATTATGACACTAATTTTAAAATCTCATCAACCAGTAATGCAGTAAGTTCTTGTTCAATTCAGCCAGCAGATTATATGCTTTCTTATATCAACCATTTCTTAGAAACTAATGGGGAATGTGTCAATTCTTTATATTTTAGATGAGTTCAAATTAATTTTTTTAGACAGAGTTTTGCTCTGTTGCCCCGGCTTGAGTTCAGTGGTGTGATCACGGCTTACTGCAACCTCCACCTCCCGAGTTCAAGTGATTCTCCTGCCTCAGCCTCCCATACGCCCAGCAATTTTTGTATTTTTTTAGTAGAGATGGTGCCAACTGGCTTTCACCCTGTTGGTCAGGCTAGTCTTGAATGCCTAACCTCAAATGGTCTGCCCTCCTTGGCCTCCCTAAGTGGTGAGATTATAGGCATGAGCCATAGCACCTGGCCCTAATTTTGAATATTTTTAAATTGTTCAGAAAACTCTACTTTCCAGTTTTAAGTATGTAAATATGAATTTTTATAGGTGACATCATTTCTTATTCAGAAACACTTAACAATGCAAACCTTTCCAAAGTGTTCAAAGTGCTCTCATAGATTTTTTTTTAAGCTACTATTTTATTTCCCCTCAAAGTATCATCTTTAGGTTGAAGAGACATTTAATGTCAGCTTAGCAGCACACTTGTCATTTCACAAGAGTTCAAATATGGGGGGAAGTTTAAAAAGAAAACATCTGTAATTCATCTGTGAGTTGTGTAACTTTTAAGGTCTTTGCAACAGTCTAACCATAGTCTCATAAATGGCACAGTAGATTTTTGTGGTCACTCATTTTTATTATAAAGTATTATTTAAAATCTCCTAATCTTGTTAAATAATAAACATATTAATAACATCCTCTGGCACTATTTGCACCAAACTGCAAAGTGTGAGCACCCTGTGTGAGTCCTGAGATTCTAACCCTGATTTCTTCTCAAGTTCCAAAGTAATCGTTACTTTGATTTCAAGACCTTGCCACCAAATACTAGCTTTGCCTACTTTTTCAACTCTTTAATGACAATGGTATATATAAAGGAGTCAAGCAATCAGATATTTGTACAGTTAAAAGTGCTGCCTTCTCTTCAAATTCCGCTCCTTAGAAATAACCTCTGCGGGCCAGGCGCGGTGGCTCATGCCTGTAATCCTAGTACTTTGGGAGGCAGAGGCAGTTGGATCACCCGAGGTCAGGAGTTTGAGACCAGCCTGGCCAACATGGCAAAACCTCGTCTCTACTGAAAATACAAAAATTAGCCAGGCATGGTGTCAGGTGCCTGTAATCCCAGCTACTCAGGAGGCTGAGGTAGGAGAATCGCTTGAACCCTGGAGGTGGAGGTTGCAGTGAGCCAAGATCACGCCATTGCACTGCAGCCTGGGTAAAAGAGCGAAACTCCATCTCAAAAGAAAGAACCTCTGCTGATACCTGATTAACCCAAATACAGAGTTGTTTGGTTTGTTGGTTTGTTGGTTTTTTTTTTTTTTTTTTAACACGATTATGATGCCATTTTTATGGCTAAAGGACAGAATGTTATGGAGTTTTTAAAACTGGCAAAAGTGACATTTTTCGCTACGCCATGTTTTGAATGAGGCTTATGAAAGGATTTACTCCTAGAATATTGAAGTTCTGACTTACACACTTCATGTCTGCATTTCTTTACTTTTAGATGAAGATGGCAATAACCAGTGGCCCGAAGGTTTGAAGTTCCTTTTTGATTCGGTCAGCTCTCAAAATGTGGGACTACGAGAAGCTGCCCTTCACATTTTCTGGTATATACATTCATCTAGTTTTTTGAGACATTTGATTTCATGAATGCCCTAAACACCTTTTAATTGATTATTTTAGCCTAATTTAACTTTATACTTAAAATGGAAATAATGCCTTTACATAAGCTTTGTTTGTATTTGTATTGGAAGCAAAAATTTTTTTAAAGGGCCTTTTATTTCATGTTGTGATCTTTTTTGTACACAAAGGTTCTCTACAGCTTGCTTGCTTTCTCTTTGTCTTTTATGATTCTGAAAGTTTTATTGAACAGTTTCCTCTCGTTTATTTGGAGATTAACACAATACTGAATGTAGCTTTTCAAAAACCACATTAATAATGGTGTCTTGAAGAGGAGAAGGAGAATGCAGGTGAATCCCCATTATGTTTTCTGAATCTTCTGTGGCCAAATTTTATAATATTTTAACAAACATGTATATTTATAATCAAATAGTCTAAGTTTAGAATTAAGTGATTATTCTTTGCCCCACTGTGTTATATTTTTCTACTACACCTAAAATGTGATCAGGATCATACACATTTTAGGCATTATATCATTTTCTACTTTAGTTGTCTTATGTATCTTTGTTAATATCAGTAATTCAGATTAGAGAATGCAGATGGTCAGAGAGCATAGTTACTGTAGTTTTCGTCTGAAAACCTGTGGTTGCTCTTGTCCCATCCTGCACTCCAGGTCAGCTTTCGACTGAGACAGAGTAATAAGGATAAAAGCATGTAGCTGGGAATGGGCTGTTGAGTAGCCTCTACTCCCAGCCCAGACTTCTCCAGTATGTTTTCATTCACTTAACCCAAAAACAGGATTGCTTAGAAAATGGGTAGATGATGTTCAACCTATGGATTAATGCGTACTGAGTCAGGTAAACAAACAGTTCATTAGAGATTCTAGCTCATACTTTACCAAGATATTAATATAATGTAGCTTTTAAAGAATGTTTGGATTATCTTTTAGGAACTTCCCTGGAATTTTTGGGAACCAGCAGCAGCACTATTTAGACGTCATCAAACGGATGTTAGTTCAGTGTATGCAAGATCAGGAACACCCGTCGGTAAATAATTTCAATCCTATTAATATTGCCATCGATTTTAATCTAATTTGTGAAAGAAATTAGTGTATTAGGAGGTTTTTACTTTTATACTTTAAAATGTAAACACCAGTTTTACTGATAAAGAATAATTTGATCTTGAGTAAGAAAGCTTGAATTTGCGTTTATCAAAAATTTCTCATACTTGACATTTTTTCCTCTTCATTTTAGATTAGAACTTTATCTGCTAGAGCTACAGCTGCATTTATACTTGCAAATGAGCATAATGTTGCTCTGTTCAAACATTTTGCAGACTTGCTACCAGGATTTCTACAGGTATGAAAACAGTATAGAATAAATCATAATTATACCTTACTTGGTTCTTTAATGCATTCAATCATTGATGCAATAAATTCATATTGCTTATTATGAATTTATATATGAATATTTATAAGCAATAAATTCATATTGCTTATTATGTTCTGGCACTGGGGATACAAGAGTGAACAAAACATGCAGATCTCAGTCTCCATTGAGCTTATGGTTACTGCCTTTGAAAGACATTTTTAGTCTCTTAAATATTTATACTTATAAAATTTTCCTGTAAAGTAAATGGTGTAAGCAGTTATATGCTTATTATTGAATATATGGTCATGTAGATTATTTCCGTTAAATCAGTTAAATAACCTGTGAGATTTAAGGTCCATTTTACATAAGGAGAAACTACTCTTAACTACAGGGTGTGTAAGTTTGTATTATAATGTAAGTTTATGGTTAATTCACATTATCATTAAGGATGTTAATGTTTTAAGGATACTTTCTGCTTTAATCAGAAAGCAAAATAAGATTAGACAAGATAGAGTATATATTCAGGGCAACTTGAGTCTATGCTCCTGGGGAAAAAAAATTTATATTAATTAAAATAAAATTTAAAAGATTGTACAAGTTAGTGGTTCCCAATCTTCAGACTCCAAACTCCTTTTTTATGACAATTTTTAGTAATTTTTCAAATACTCTTCTAAAGATGAAATGCATAAGTAATGTAACATATATGTGCACAATTTTTTAGAATATATATATGGCCTTAACTAAATATAAAGAACTACAAAGAAAACATATAATAAAATGGCTTGCTTTTCCTTATGTGAATGGTCAGACAAGACTACACTAAAAGACATAATAGACTAGGTGGTTTCCAAGTGATCTATACAAATGTAATAGCTAAAACTGGACTGATAACAAAGATATTGGTAAGTCAAACACCACAGTTCCCATTAGAATTGGTGATAAGATTTCCTAAAATAGTAAGGTTCTGAACAAAGTAATGTAGAGAGTGAGTCTCTCTTATTCAGAATACTTGGGAATAGAAGTGTTTCGGATCTCAAAATTTTTTCAAATTTTGAAACACTGTGTTTGTGTTACACTTACCAGTTGAGCATCTCAAGTCAGAAATCCGAAATACTCAAATGCGCATTTCCTTTGAGTGACGTGTCTGTGTTCAAAAAGTTGAGGATTTCAGAGCATTTTGGATTTGGGATGTTCCACCTGTATGTATCCATTCTTGATTGATACAGTAGTTACATTGCGGGGGGATAACAGTTGTTGAAACCAGACAAAACATAATTTGTGAGTTAGGCTCTAGGTTCAGATCACTATAAAGAGTTTTTCCTTTTTATAAATGTCTGGGGTTTGTACAAATGTGAAATGCATAATGAGAAGATCATGTAAGTCCCTTGTGCTTGTGTCTCAGGTCAGGACATTTAGTATCCATGGCCTTTGCCCATCCTCAACCGTGTGACCATCAGGAAATACCTCCTGGGTGGAAAACCATTCCCCTTGAGAACCACTGAGTTAGAGAGGATTTAGAGGAGCTAAAATTGAAGGTTTCCACATGATAAAAGTTTATTTAAAGGATTTAGTGAAACTTCTCTCCCCATGCTATCACAATTAAAAGATAGTTTTGTGACAGAACATTAACTATAACATATTATTGCTTTAGTAGTTTATTATCTGAAATCTCTAGTTACTTTTGAAATCTAATCCCGGTTTTCTTCCTCTGGATTTAGAGTAAGTTAAAATGTTTACCACAACTTTTAAGAGTTGTTATTCTGAAATTGATAATGATAAACACAAAATGCATACTTTAATACCACAGTGACCAGACTTAACATCCAAGATAAATAAAATGGGTAATATTGGACACTTTATAGGTTCTAGTACTTACTGTGCGTATGAAAACAACTAGGACATGGATATAAGAAAGGACAGAAGAGCCGAGTGTCATGGCCACACATGTGGTCCTGGCTACTCAGGAGTCTGAGGCACAAGAGTTGGAGGGTACTGTGAGCTGTGGTCGTGCCACCATACTCCAGCCTGGGTGACAGAGCGAGACTTTATTGCTGAAAAAATAAAAGGACAAAGGAAAGGGACTCCTGGTTATAAAAAAGTAATTCCTTGGCAGCCTTAAGTATTGTAATGGTTATTATAGTTTCACTGATTTTCATTTTGACTTAAATGTAAGTCTGTTTTGTATGTTTCTAGTTAACATCCATTGAAAGGAAGGTATATATGTGCCTGCAGGTAGAACATTTGCATAATATAGATTGCTAAATTACTTAGTGAAAAATAGTTTAGTAATATTTCTCTATTGTCAGCATCTTAGGAATGTTTTGGCTAAGGAGGCATCGTAAAGTGAATCTTCAACACAGACTTTCTATTTCATCTTTTCTAGGCTGTAAATGACTCGTGCTACCAGAATGATGATTCTGTCCTAAAATCCCTTGTTGAGATTGCAGATACTGTTCCAAAGTATTTGCGTCCTCACTTGGAAGCAACTCTACAGCTAAGTCTAAAGGTAAATTAAGTACGTTAGTAAACGTTCTGTTTGTTATTTGCAGGGACTAATCTAAACTATTAAATGTATACAAATATGTCTTCTTTGTAGTTGTGTGGAGACACTAGCCTCAACAATATGCAACGCCAGCTTGCCCTTGAAGTTATTGTCACCCTCTCTGAGACTGCAGCTGCTATGTTAAGAAAACATACCAATATTGTTGCACAGACTAGTAAGTCAACAGTCTTCAGATAGTTTATGTGTAATGTGGCCAAATTTTTGGATAAATTTGCTGAGGGTTGTGTAATTTCTCAGATTGTTGAGAATATAATGAATATCCTTTTAGAATCAGATGAATTTGGGAAAATGCATCTCAATACATGCAAGCGTGGACCCCCACATTGTGATTATGCCTTTAAGACTTTGCAGGCACCCTGAAATCTGGTGTTAAAAATAACATTTCTAGAGTGAACCATGACAGACTCTATCATTTATATGTTAAATATTGGGCACAGTTAATACAGTCAAAAACAATTCAGCAGGGATATATAGATATACAGTAGCGAACTGCAAACCAAAATAATGTGTGTTACCAGTGAAGATAGGATTAGAACAAGGTCTAACACTCTAGTCGTGGCTCTGTTCACTATATTACATTGCTTTTGTTTTATAGACCCTCATTGCAGCAGAAACTTAAATGGCTATTGTGCTATGGAAATACTACTTTAAAGTTTCATTGTGCTGGGATAAGGACTTGAGAACTAACCTGATCATTTTCTGGCCTAGCCATTTCTTAATGAGCTAATGAGTACTTGAACACTTAATTTAGAGGGTAAATACATCACCAGATTTATTTCGTAGTGGTACCTACCTTTTGTCTTACACTGAGGTAGTGGTTGGAATTTTAGAAACATTCCCATTAAAGTCAGGAACAAGAAAAATATCTCCTTTATCACTGTTCGTGTTGTACTGACTGCCCCAGCTGATGCATTAAGAGATAAAAATAAGTTATAAGAATTAGAAACGATGGCCGGGTGCGGTGACTCATGCCTGTAATCCCAGGACTTCGGGAGGCTGAGGCAGGCAGATCACTTGAGGTCAGGAGTTCGAGACCAGCCTGGCTAACATGCTAAAACCCCGTTTCTACTAAAAACACAAAAAATTAGCTAGGTGTGATGGTGCATGCCTGTAATCCCAGCTACTCAGGAGTCTGAGGCAAGAGAATTGCTTGAATCCAGGAGGCGGAGATTGCAGTGATCCCAGATTGCACCATTGCACTTCAGCTTGGGCAACAAGAGTGAAACTTGTCTCAAAAAAAAAGAATTAGAAACAAAAATATTGCTTATTTGTAGGCTATGAGGTTATCGTCTACAAAAAATTTTAAAGACTAAACAGATAAACTGCTAATCAAAGGGTTAAGCAAGATCCTTAGATATGAGAGCATTTTATTGTAAGTGTTCCATTATACGTAGTAATCACTTAGAAAATTTTATAGGCATGAGTTGTAGTAACTGGGAATAAATCAAAAGGTATATAAGACTTATATGGAGAATGTTGAATAACATATTGAAAGACTAATACAAGAACGAAGTGTCAGTTCTCAAATTAATCTAGGGTTATGATAGAACGATCCTGAAATTCTTCTGAAAGAACATAGGGCCTGGAGTAGCCAAGACAATTTTGACAAATAAAGTGGAGATCTTGCCCCATCAACTCTGTGAATTTAGAATGCATTGATGATGCGGGTGTTGACAATGGATTGGATGGAACAAAGGATAGAGTGTAGGAGAGGATCCACTCACCTGGGAACAAAGCCATTTTTAAAAAGATAATTGATCGAAAGTTCTTAGGACCCCACATACTGGCTCAGGCCTGTAATCCCAGCACTTTGGAAAGCCAAGGTGGGCAAATCGCGTGTCCTCCTGAGTTTGAGACCAGCCTGGGCAACGTGACAAAACCCTGTCTCTGCCAAAAATACAAAAATTAGTCGGGCATGGTGGCACACGCCTGTGATTCCAGCTACTCAGGAGACTGAGATGGAGGATTGCTGGAGCCCAAGAGGTCAAAGCTGCGGTGAGCCAAGATCACTCCAGCCTGGGTGACAGAGCGAGACCCTGTCTCAAAAAAAAAAAAAAGTTGCTGGAATAACTGGTTCATTCTTTTTTTTTTTTTTTTTTTTTTTAATAGGTTTATGGGGAACAGGTGGTGTTTGGTTTAGTGGTGATTTTTGTGATTTTGGTGCATCCATGACGGGAGCAGTGTACGCTGTACCCAGTGTTTAGTCTTTTATCCCTCACTCCCCTCCCCACCTTTCCCCTGAGTCCCCAAAGTCCATTGTATCATTATTATGCCTTTGCATCCTCATAGCTCAGCTCCCACTTAAGAGTTGAGAATATAACTGGTTATTTCTATGGAGAAAAAATTTCAACTCTAGACAGCTTATTAAAAAAATAATTTGGGTTCTACTGAAGACCTGAATATCACCTTGCACACTAGAACTAGTTAAAAAAATTAAATTAAGAACTAAATATTACAGATACATTTTATAAGTAATGCTTAATAGTAGATTAAGACTGCATTTTAAGACTGAAGCATTTTAAGACTGAATCACAAACCATTGATGTAAACATTGCCAAATTTGTAAATGTTAAAACAGTTTTTTGACCAATCAGATATACCATAAACGAACTGAAAAGCCACAGACTGGAAGAAAATAATTACAGTGCACACAATCAACAGTTTTGTTATCTAGAGAATACACAAAGGCTGAGAAGAGGAAATTCATTGCTCTTTTTGTTTAAGACGGGGTCTCGCTCTGTCACCCAGGCTAGAGTGCAGTGACGTGATCTCAGCTCACTGCAGCCTCCCAGGTAGCTGGGACTACAGGCACATGCCACCACACCTGGCTAATTTTTGTTTTTTGGTAGAGATAGGGTTTTACCATGTTGCCCAGGCTGATCTTGAACTCCTGGGCTCAAGGGATCCTCCCACCTCAGCCTCCCAAAGTGCTGGGATAACAGGTGTGCACCAGCAGGCCCAGCCAGGAAATTCATAAAAGAGGGATCTGAGATATCTAATGAACCCTACTAAGTCTCAATAAAAACCAGTGTAATTGTGGAATACAAGTTGCCCAAAAGTTTGACAATATCAATTGTTGATGAAAGATGTAGAACCAAGAGGACGCTTATTCCGGCCACAGGGCACTTCATACATTTTTGTGAAATAATACAGACCTCCACTGAAACGTCACATAGTTTCTGCAACAGCTGTGCAGAGCACAGCTTGTTTGGTAATTATTATTATTATTATTTTTTTTTTTTTTTTTTTGAGATGGAGTCTCACTCTGTCACCCAGGCTGGAGTGCAGTGGCTCATGTGATCTTGGCTCACAGCAAGCTCCACCTCCCAGGTTCACGCCATTCTCCTGCCTCAGCCTCCCGAGTAGCTGGGATTACAGGCGTCCGCCACCACGCCCGGCTAATTTTTTTGTATTTGGGGTTTCACCATGTTAGCCAGGATGGTCTCGATCTCCTGACCTTGTGATCTGCCCGCCTTGGCCTCCCAAAGTGCTGGGATTATAGGCATAAGCCACTGCGCCTGGCCTTGCTTGGTAATTTTTTAGTACTATTTGAAGGTAGTAATAACGATTTCATGCCTAGACTCATGCTTGTCAGAGAGAAGATGTAATAATCTCATCAAAGCAAATTTTATAGGAGGAATAAATTGGAAACAACTAAAATGTTTATCAGCTGGACAGTGGGTAGTATGTTTATATAATGGAATGCTATTAATTAAATTGAAATGCTTATGTGTTGAGAAAAAAGCAAATTGCCAAGGTGCATATATTATGAAACCATTTATTATATAAAAAATCGAATCTTGAAATAGTACTGTAATTTTGTATAGAGATATGGATCTGTAGTTCAAGTGTGAAAAAAACAATTGAGGAATGTGAAACATCTGTTTTGTGATGTTGCTTCTTACCTCTGGTGACCGGGGGAGAATGTAATTGGATTTGGGAATTTCATAGGAGGGTTTGACTTATGAATGTTACTTTTTAAAGAAAAGATAAAAGCAAATATGACAAAAGGTTAAAATTTAACAAACCAGGTTTTGGGGGCACAGACAAATAATTGTTCTGTCTTACTCTCTTAGAGGCAAAGTGAAATATTAAAATTCTTGTTATAAATAGTGGTATGTGTAAAATAAAGTCACAGTCTTCAGATGTGAAATAATTGTTTACTTTAGTTCCTCAGATGTTAGCAATGATGGTTGATTTGGAAGAAGATGAGGACTGGGCAAATGCAGATGAACTAGAAGATGATGATTTTGACAGGTAATCAAACATAGTGTCCAGGGTGGCAGTGAGAGCCCTAGGGCTCCAAGGCCCATCTTCACCATTGCACCCTGTAACCTGAAGGTAAACTTTTAAGCCTGGAATATGGGGCACTTTGCCTTGCTGTTGTATGTATTGCTGTGTCACATTTTATAGATAGTATTTTCTTTAGTTTTCATATATAACATATTAATAAAATTTATGTTCCTTGAAAGTTCATAAAAATACTTTAATAGTTAATACATAAAGTTGTATTTTGTAATCAGGAATGGAAAGATACCTACAACAACAAACAAGGAAGTTTTTTAAAAAAAGTATGACATGAAAACAGCAAATAAAGTAGCTGTGTTTTTAACTGTCTTACTCTAAATTATTTCCAAGGTTTTTTTTGTTTTTTTGTTTTTTTAGTTTGAGTATCTTTTAAAACATGTATAAAGAAGCTTTTTTGTGATAAATGCTTTTATAGGCAAAGACTTCCCTTAGAATAATTGTTTCAACAAAATTCCCTGCGATACACATCATATTTTCCTAGTAAAAAGTAGTTTAACTTCAGGATAGACAGGATCCAGTGGTGAAAAGATTAAAAGTCACACCAGGTGACAGAAATACTGGAATTACTATTGTACTTATTTATTTCAGCTTAGGAAGTCCCATGAATACAGGAAAAGTCAACCAAAATCTGTACTCACTGTGCAGTAGTAATGAATGTATATTGAAACATAGCACCTCAGAGTTCTGTTACTTTAATCAACTTTATTAGTAGTCCCAGAGGTATATTACAGATGCAGAAAGGGAGATTGAAGATTGAGTGATTTGTCTGAGGTTATGTAGCCAGTTAATGTACTGGGGTTAATTACTATTTCTTTCATTCTTCCCAGTGCATTATCCTACCACTTTTTCTTTAAAAAAGCTGAAATTGGCCGGGTGTGGTGGCTCGCGCCTGTAATCCCAGCACTCTGGTAGGCAGAGGCGGGCAGATCACATGAGGTCAGGAGTTTGAGACCAGCCTGACCAACATGTTGAAACACCATCTCTACTAAAAATACAAAAATTAGCCGCACCTGGTGGCAAACACCTGTAATCCCAGCTACTCGGGAGGCTGAGCTAGGAGAATCTCTTGAACCTGGGAGGCGGAGGTTGCAGTGAGCTGAGATCACGTCATTGCACCCCAGCCTGGGCCACAGAGCGAGACTCTGTCGCAAAAAAAAAAAAGGAGCTGAAATTATTCGCCCGAAAGACTTGGAGTCAGTATAAACTACTAGGTTAATAAAAGAAAAAATTAAAGACATTTGTCTTTAGAATGTATGGTGCATTTTTGATACTTAATCCCATTATTAAAAATGACTGATTTCTGGCTTTAATACTGTTTTGAAGTATATGAAAGTAATCTTTCACTGGAAACACCTGATAATGGCTGAAGAGAAGACCAGGGCTAGCTTGAATTTCCTTTCTGGTTCAGTTACTGTAATGTGCTGCTACTTGTCCTTTAATTTGCCCTGTAAATGGCACTTAAATTTATACAGTTTAAGAAACTTTGTTTTCTAGACTAGGTGAATAAGATTTTCTAATTTGTGAGTAAACAGGGCATGAATATATTTTCAAGGGGAGATTTTTTAAGTCTAAAAACCTGTTCTGAAGGTAATTTATAGCTTCATTTTTATAGTATTGTCTTTACACAGTAAAGATAATGCATGTGAAATTCACTACTGATCTTCCAGTTCTAAACCAGGATAAGTCCAAATGCTTTTATGCCCACATCCCTTCAGCTTTCTGAGAAAACAGTAGAATTGTGTTTACATAACTATGCATAGTTTCTGGCAGTGCAGTTTGCACCCCTTTAAAGGTGAATAAACTCAGTGGGGAAAATTATACATTCTCTGCACCCTTTTCGGTTTTCCATGTTCTGTTCATTGACAAGTTTGAAGACTGTATTTCTAGGAAATGAAATACACAAGGCTCTTTCAACACTGCTTTTACTGGAGTGTTGAAAGTGTCAGAAGCTGTTTCTGAGAACAGTTTTTAGCCAGTAGGGGGTGAGGATGGTCTTGAAAAATAAGATTCAGGCCAGGCACAGTGGCTCACGCCTGTAATCCCAGCACTTTGGGAGGCTGAGGTGGGTGGATCACAAGGTCGGGAGATCGAGACCATCCTGGCTAACATGGTGAAACCCCATCTCTGCTAAAACTACAAAAAAATTAGCCAGGCGTGGTGGCGGGCGCCTGTAGTCCCAGCTACTCGGGAGGCTGAGGCAGGAGAATGGCGTGAACCCAGGAGGCGGAGTTTGCAGTGAGCTGAGATCGCGCCACTGCACTTCAGCCTGGGCGACAGAGTGAGACTCTGTCTCAAAAAAGAAAAGAAAAGAAAAATAAGATTCAGACATGACTTTCTAAACTATGGTGGAGCATGATAAAAGCAATTACTCTTTTTTTTCTTTACTAAGCTATAGGGTTTTTAAACCCCTAATTTCAGTTCCACATTTAAAGACAGCTTGAATTCTTTCTCAGTCTTAGTTTAATAATAATACGATTAGACGTATGTCTGTAGAGTCTACTATTTATTTTGTATTTCAGATATATTGAATACATAATTTTGTTTATGTGTTTAGCAATGCAGTTGCAGGCGAGAGTGCTCTAGACCGAATGGCTTGTGGACTTGGTGGAAAGCTCGTTCTGCCGATGATCAAGGAACACATTATGCAAATGCTTCAAAATCGTAAGCTATGTCCTTCAAATGCTAGAATAGTGAAGTTGTGCCCTTTCTAAAGCTTAAATTCTAAGATATGTTTAGACTGTTAAAAATTAATCTTGGCTAGGCATGGTGGCTCACACCTGTAATCCCAGTACTTTGGGAGGCCAAGGCAGGCGGAACACCAGGTCAGGAGATCGTGACCATCCTGGCTAACATGATGAAACCCTGTCTCTACTAAAACAAAAAAATTAGCCAGGCGTGGTGGCGGGCGCCTGTAGTCCCAGCTACTTGTGAGGCTGAGGCAGGAGAATGACGTGAGCCCAGGAGGCAGAGGTTGCCGTGAGCCAAGATCATGCCACTGCACTCCAGCCTGGGCGACAGATCAAGACTCCATCAAAAAAAAAAAATTAATCTTGTCTTTTTACCATCCATATTTAACCCAATTCATTGACATGAAATTGTCAATCCCAAAGAAAATGTACAGATTTACTTCCTTGCCAAAAATATTTAGATTTGAATTTGAAAGTGACATTATTTGAACTTTTAAGAAATATTAGAATGTTTGAATCATATAATCTTCTTTCATCCGTTATCTTTTATTTTTAAAAGAAGAAATTCTATCTAATGTTATCAAAAAGGAAACTCTTTCTTTTTTTGCCCCTGACTGAGGTGATGGTGGAAGCCCACCTGCCTTGGAGGGCAGCTGTTGCTGTTATTGCTGTTGCTGCTGGTGGTGGTGTTGACATGGGATTTCGCTATGTTGCCCAGGCTGGTCTCAAACTCCTGGCCTCAAGCAGTCCTCCTGCCTCAGCCTCCCAGAGTGCTTGGATTATAGGCATGAGCTACCATACCCGGCCATCCTTTTTTATTTCTGTGAATATTTCCCTACTATTTGGTCAGTTACCTTTGTACCTATAATATATATCAATCCCCAAGTTGATTATTGTATATGTTTTATTTTCATTTGTCTTTTTTAATTATAAATTAATGTGTTCTTTTCTTAAATTAAAATGCAGAAGTTTTAAGTTAGAAATTTGTTGGTTTGTCTGGTTTTTGGTGGAGTCTCACTCTATTGCCCAGGGTGATGTGATCTCAGCTCACTGCAGCCTCCACCCGCTGGGTTCAAGCGATTCTCCTGCCCTTGCCTCCTGAGTAACTAGGACTACAGGCACATGCCACCATGCCCAGCTAATTTTTTTTTTTTTTTTTTTTTTGAGACAGAATCTCATTGTCAACCAGGCTGGAGTGCAGTGGTGCAGTCTTGGCTCACTATAATGTTCACCTCCCAGTTTCAAGCAATTCTCCTGTCTCAGCCTCCCAAGTAGCTGGGATTACAGGCATATACCACCACACCCAGCTAATTTTTGTACTTTTAGTAGAGACGGAGTTTCTCCATGTTGGCCAGGCTGGTCTCAAACTCCTAACCTCAAGTGATCCGCCCACCTCGGCCTCCCAAAATGCTGGGATTACCGCATGAGCCACTGCACCCGGCCTAATTTTTGTATTTTTAGTAGAGATGGGGTTTCAGTATGTTGGCCAGGCTGATCTTGAACTCCTGACCTTAAGTGATCTGCCTGTCTCGGCCTCCGAAAGTACTGGGATTACAGGCGTGAGCCACTGTGCCCGGCCAACTTGCAAGGTTTTAAATTCATATTCACAGGTAACCATTGTTAACAGCTCTCTGAGACTTTCCTCTGACCTCATTTATGCATATACGGAGGGGATTTTTAAAGTGAATATACTGTATGGACACATCATATTTTTTAAGCTTTTGCTCAACAGTTTGTCGTATCACCACGTAACAGCCTACCTCATTTTTTTTTTTAATTGCCACATACATTCCACAATCCCTATTCCATGCTAATTGTTTTTATTGATTACAAATAATAATGTAAACACTCTTCTACAGGAATTCTGGCTTACCTTGTGTGAATATTTTTATAGAGTAGATTTAAAAAGCAGACATGAAGATCACACCATTGATACAGGATTTTGTTTGTTTGTTTGTTTTTGTTTTGAGACGAAGTCTCGCCCTGTCACCCAGACTGGAGTGCAGTGGCTTAGTCTTGGCTCACTGCAACCTGCGCCTCCCGAGTATCTGGGATTACAGGTGCCCGCCGCCACCACGCCTGGCTAATTTTTGTATTATTTAGTAGAGACAAGGTTTCACCATGTTGACCAGGCTGGTCTTGAACTCCTGACCCACCTGCCTTAGGCTCCCAAAGTGCTGGGATTACAGGTGTGAGCCACCGCGCCTGGCCTGATACATACTTTTAGAATCAAGTAGTCTAGTTGGGCACTTTTTCTGTTCATTTTTCTAAAAAGTAAATATACAAATGTTTTTATATTACGTTATATATACATATAACCCTTTCTAAAAAAATTTTGTTACTCTTTCCCAAATAAGAACTTTTTTACATCTCCCTCTACCAGCATGACATGTTTATAGTGTCTAATTGGTATTCCATCTGTAATTTTTTTCTGTAGCTGACTGGAAATATCGGCATGCAGGATTGATGGCCTTATCTGCCATTGGTGAAGGGTGCCACCAGCAAATGGAAGGAATTCTAAATGAGATAGTAAATTTTGTTTTACTTTTTCTTCAGGATCCTGTAAGTACCAGTAAATATATGATTGAAAATGATTAGTGTTGTAGCTTCAGGTGGAAACCTTATTGCTTTTACTAATGAAAGGGAACGTTTTCCAGCATCCACGAGTGAGGTATGCAGCCTGTAATGCCGTGGGACAGATGGCTACAGATTTTGCACCTGGTTTCCAAAAGAAATTTCATGAGAAGGTAAGTAACAAGTCCTCAGACACTCAAATCAGACTTTAGGAAGAGGGGTGGACATTTCACCATATATGCCCACTTGGTTTCATTTCACAGGTGATTGCAGCTCTGCTGCAGACCATGGAAGACCAAGGCAATCAACGTGTGCAGGCCCATGCAGCTGCTGCCCTCATTAACTTCACTGAAGACTGTCCCAAGTCACTACTTATTCCATACTTGGATAATTTGGTGAAACATCTGCATTCCATTATGGTACTTAAGCTTCAAGAGGTAAGTTTTAAGATCTGTAGGCTGCCTTCTCTTTGTAGATTAATTTGGGTTGATTTGATGGGTAAGAACTGGAGAAAGAGGGACTTGCAGCCTGACCATAAAGAATATAAAGTAAAAAAAACCAAGGAGGATGTTCGGAGTTGTGGAGTGATGAGTAGAAAAATTCAGATTTGACCAAAATGTGGGCTGATAACTGAAATTGGGAAAGATACAGCTAAAGGTCAGGTAAAATCAGTATATGGATCACCCTGAAAATAAGGCAGAGAAATTTTTGAACTCTGATTTATGTAAAGTGTGAAAAACCATTCTATGTTCTTAAATGCTGCAGGAAATCATCATATGGTAAGAAATTAGTGTAGTAGCATTGGGTGAGGCATACACAAAAAAGAGAAGATTTAAGGCAAGACCATCACACTGTCATTGTCCAGGAAGCTTAGATAGTAATAGTGGAAGAGGTGATTCTGAAAGACATTTCATGGGAAGCATTAACAGTTTGTTTCTGGCAGTTTGAATTTTAAAAGATGAAAGGGCCAGGCACGGTGGCTCACCCCTGTAATCCCAGCACTTTGGGAGGCTGAGGCAGGTGGATCACCTGAGGTCAGGAGTTCGAGACCAGCCTGGCCAGCATGGTGAAATCCCATCTCTCCTAAAAATACAAAATTAGCCAGGTGTGTTGGAACACGCCTGTAATTCCAGCTACTCGGGAGGCTGAGACAGGAGAATCACTTGAACATGGGAAGCAGAGCTTGCAATGAGCTGAAGTGGCACCCCTTGACTCCAACCTGGGCAGCAAGAACAAAATTGTGTTTCAAAAAAAAAAAAAAAAAAGATAAAAGAATAAATTTTAAAATGTTGACTATTCTAACCAAGGTGACAGAAACACAGAAGTTGTAGAAACAAGATCATTTTTGAGTATCCAAGTAAAAATGATTGTAGTTACAGCTGAAGGAAGGGATACAACCTGAAAACAATTGAAGGATGTTAGTCCAGCACAGTGCATGAGAGATGTAGATGTGAAAAGCAAGGATTTTAGCCCAGTTTGTCAAATGCAATGAAAATAGATTACTGTTATAAAAATGAAATGAACAGAAGGCATAGAAAGGCATAGAAAATAAAAGATATAAACCTGCTCTCAAATTGCTGTGAAAGTTTCTAATGCCCTCAATGCCTATACTTAATATGAACTGGTAGCAAATAGTTAACAAACCACAGTTTGCATAGCACTGGTGATTGGTCAGAGAGCAAGACAAACAAGAAATGCAATGTCTCAGAAGCCAAAGAGAGAGGACTTAAAAACAAAGGCCCAAGTGCTCACTATCAGATGACAGCAGACTAAGAATATGATAAAGGAAACATGCACGTGCCCGAAGGCAGACCGAGGTGGACACCAAGTTGAAGGCAGATAGGTTGGTTGGTTAAATCAGTAATGGATGGATCCAGCGTGACTTTACAGGTTTGGGTGGGTGGCTGTGGTGTGAGAGGCCCTGTGTACCCCTGCCCTTCCTTCCTGCAGTGAGGCACTATGTGGGTTTTTAAAGATAAGTAGAAGGAGTTGTTGGGATGGGATGATAGGAGGACAGTGTTCATGAGGAAGAGTTGTATGAAGAGAAGGTAGCCTAGCGGAGGAGGAAAGACATTTCTCTGAGGCCAGCAGCACAGTCCATACTAAACATGGAGCAGAGGTTGAGATGCAGAAGCAGGAAGTGAGAGAACTTCCTGAAGACATGGTTGAATGTGTAACACAAGGTAAAGAACTCTGCTGAGAGTGTGGGTGTAGTTGATGGGAGGAATTATGAAAATCTGAAGTAGTAACTGGGTCAGGTTCATATGAGTCAATAAATATTGTATTTTATTCTTTAATTTATTTTGACATGGAGTCTTGCCCAGGCTGGAGTGCAGTAATGCAATCTCTGCTCACCGCAACCTCTGTCTCCCAGGTTCAAGTGATTCTCCTGCCTCAGCCTCCCAAGTAGCTGGGATTACAGGCGTGCACCACCACACCCGGCTAATTTTTGTGTTTTGAGTGGAGACAGGGTTTCACCATGTTGGCCAGGCTGTTCTTGAACTCCTGACCTCAAGTCATCCACCTGCCTGGGCCTCCCAAAGTGCTGGGATTACAGGTGTGAGTCACCATGCCTGGCTTCCTTTTTTTTTGTTTTTTTTTTGTTTTGTTTTGTTTTTAAGATGGAAGTCTTGCTCTAGTCAGCCCAGCTGGGATGCAATGGCACAATCTTGGCTCACTGCAATCTCTGCCTCCCTGGTTCAAGCAATTCTCCTGCCTCTGCTTCCCTAGTAACTGGGATTACTGGGGTGTGCCACCACACCTGGCTAATTTTTATTTGTTTGTTTATTTATTTATTTATTTGTTTGTTTTTTTAGAGACAGGGTTTCACCATGTTGGCCAGGCTGGTCTTGAACTCCTGACTCAAGTGATCCGCCCTCCTCAGCCTCCCAAAGTGCTGGGATTACAGAAGAATTATTTTAAAATATTGCTGGTGACAGGACAGGCCCAGCAGCAGATAGGTAGTAAGCATTTGTTACTAGCTGGGTCAGAGAACACCAGGTCTTTGGTGCAGAGAAAAAGGTCATCTCATCTGTTTCAGCAAGACAGATGCAGGAGAAGGCAGCAAGTTTCCTTGGTGGGATCTTCTGGGGAGGGGGTGGTTAGAAGATAAAGGAAGGGGCCAAAGAGGGAATTTTCTTTATGACATAATAAGACAGCACAAAATATAAGTAGAGGAAATCAGTGAAGAAAAAAATGAGTATGAAGTGTAGGCATTAAAGTTGATGAACACAAAAATTTTGAGTCCATATCTATACTCAAGAATTAGCTGTGCTTTGAGACAAGACAAAAATGAGTAAGGGGTATTGTGTTAACAGAAGACAGAAAAAAAACTCACATAAATAGTTCAACATAAATTCTTTTTATAAAAATTTCCTCCAAAACCTGCAGTCTCTGCTTCTGGAGAGGTGGTCTCATTCTGCTGTTTCAGAAAAGCATTCAAGAACTTGAAGGGAGTAGTAATTGTAAATTTAAATACTTCTTCCAGTTTTCCTTTGAAGTAATAATTTGTGTGTCTTCCTTCTAGCTGATTCAAAAAGGCACCAAGTTAGTTTTGGAACAAGTCGTGACATCCATTGCGTCAGTTGCAGATACTGCAGAAGAAAAATTTGTCCCCTACTATGATTTATTTATGCCATCACTGAAGCACATCGTTGAGAATGCGGTTCAAAAAGAACTGAGACTTCTGAGAGGAAAAACTATTGAATGCATTAGCCTCATTGGTCTGGCTGTTGGGAAGGAAAAAGTAAGTAATTTCTATTATGTTGAATTTACTGTATATAACTTGGCTGTGGAGGCATTGAGAGTACTAGAGGGATTTTTTCCTTCTGATAAATGGTTTTCTGGATGCTTGTTTTTTTTTCCTTACTCCTTTCACATTGCTCCTGTTTTATATACAAATTAATTCCTGCCTTCATCTTTTCATTGTTTGGTTTGGTGTTTTTTGTTTTGTTTTGTTTTTGAGACCAAGTCTCTCTCTCATCACCCAGGCTGGAGTGTAATGGCACGATCTTGGCTCACTGCAACCTCTGCCTCCCAGGTTCAAGCAATTCTCCTGCGTCAGCCCCCCAAGTAGCTGGCATTACAGGCATGCGCCAACTCTCCCAGCTGATTTTTGTGTTTTTAGTAGAAGTGGGCTTTCACTATGTTGGCCAGGCTAGCCTTGATCTCCTGACCTCAAGCAATCAGCTCACAGGTGTGAGCCACCGCTCCCAGCCCGTCTTTTCATTGTTAATATTAAGGTTTCTTTTTAGCTCAGCTGTGCTCTTGATGCCTCCTCCTTTCCCCGCCACACACACTGTATCTCATGGGAGGTGTGTGGAAATCAGTATCCATGTTAGTTCCCTTTAAATGTGCGCTTGGAAACATGTCGCTTGCTTTCCTATTAATCTAAAATGCATCAAATGTTCTCTAAGAGAGAAATCTATGCATATAGATCTTCAGAAAATAATTACCAAGGACCATTGGCCAATGTGTTTCTCAGCCAACATCTCAGAATTGTTCAAGCTAATGCAAAAGAAATTTCTCTGTCATTGAACCCTCATGTTCTGACCCTCAGAATTATCATCAGGGAACCTCTGTCTTGCCTTCTTCAAAACCAGCATCAGTATTAATTTATATTTGGAACTGGTTTCTGTGAGACACTGACCACTAAAACATTGGTATGTTTTATACCAATAAAATACTTCTGTGTCCCATACTCTATATATCTGGCTTTCATTTTCTCTTTAAAACGCTGCCTGTCTATACAATGGAGATTACCAGAACTGCAAAGAGTTAAGTGAAAATCATAGACAAAATTTTATGTAGTGAATTCTGTAAACAATCCAAAATTTTCTTTCTGAATTTGAATTCAGTTTTACTGCTTGAAATGCTTAAACCATAGACTAACACCTGATGCCATTAGAAGTACCTTTATACTGTAGTCCACTGCCCTTCAGTGGAAAATACATTTTTCTAGAAAGTGAACTAAATCTGTCACAATATAGATGAGAATTTTTCAATATGATAGTTTTATCTATGGAGGTTATGACCTATGTGGGCAATGTAGTCAATTTTTTGGCAACGCTTTGCTAATTAAGAAACAAAATTCGGTAGCAACGAGTGTCTCTCTACGTATTTTCCTCTAGTTCATGCAGGATGCATCAGATGTGATGCAGCTATTGTTAAAGACCCAGACAGACTTCAATGACATGGAAGATGATGATCCTCAGGTAAGTGGTCTTAATGCGTTTGCCTTGATCTGCTAATGAGTTGTGGACAGCACACGGTTCAATATATTTAAAACAAAAGGAGTGATAGGTTTCTTGACATTCTCTCAACCCCTACTAGCAGAGACATTCTTCACTGATTTTCCTTCTGTTTCTCAAGCCACTTTTTCTAGTCTGTTGTCGGTTGCTCTTGCTTTCTCTGACTCTCGAGTTTTGGTGTTAGTGAGTTCTGTCCAAGGCTCTCTTATCTTCTCACTCCCATGGAGCAGTGTCACTCATAGACATGGCTTCCAGTTTCCTCTATATGCTTGCAACTTTCAGATCTTCAGAATTGAAGTTTCATTTCTCCAGCATGTAATAGACATCTCCATTCAGATGTCTCCTACCCCTTTGAAGTCTGCATGACCTCCCTCCCCTGGCAGAAAATACAGAACCCAAGAATCTCAGGACACACTGCTTGCCTCTCTGCCTATGAGCAGACAAAGGCATTTCATTAGGAGGAACCCCTGCCTCTCGACACATGTACATACACACATAGGTATATACACCCAGCTAACGCTTGCTCACAGTTCTTATCCTTTACAAGATTTTCCTGATCTGGTCAGTCTCAATGGTGGGCAGTTCCAGCACTGTGTTATAGTAACATCATAAATGTTTGTCATAATCTTGATGGTATTCCCAACGCCTGACATATAACAAGGCACTCCGTAAATAATTGTTGAATTAAATTTTGACTTTACATAGCCACACTGTATTAGTTTAAATAGGAAAACATATCATTTTGCAAAGAAAGCGTGTTTTGTTGTTGTTCGCTTTCTTTGCAAAATGACATACAAATATACATGTATGTTTTGTATGTACCGAGATAACAGGCAGGAGGGATACTTAGCAGGCTGCTGACAGTAGGGAGGCTGAGGGGACTGTAAGCAGTAGGGAGGGTGGTAAGGACAAGGCATGTTGCTCACCTTTGTATCAGCCAGCATGTAGTTTCATGCCTGGCATGTGAGAAACACCCAGTACCTATCTGAAGAGTGGGTGGACTTTTACATATGAAATCATTAAGAGGTGGGGCATGTGTCTATCCATGCTTAATAAATAAAATAGGTAGGTGGATGACAGATACTGGGATAAGAATCACTTTCTAGGTTGCAGGGATGGTGAATGGAACCAGATTCTCTAGGTAATTTCAGATGATGAAGTCTGTGTAAACACAGTAATAGGAGAAGAGGTGTTTTAAATATACTCAGCCACTTAACGAGAAAATTATAACAGCTAAGGGAAAAGGATGTTTTGTTTCTTGGGTTTTAATAAATGTTTAATGAATGGAGTGGCAGGCAATAGGGATACAGAGTCAGATAAAATACATTTCTGTCTTCAAAAAATTTGTGACTGGGAGTTGACGAAATGTTTGGCTTTGTTTAGGTGATTAGTTTCATTTAGGTGATTCAGATGCTAAGAAAGAAAACTAGAATCACTTACTGAAAGTAGAAAGAAATACCCAAGGTTCTGGTCTTTGTCTTTTGCCTCACCTGCTGTCCATATCCCAGTGTAGGGTGAGTTCACAGGGATTTCATTATTGATTCTGAACCTTTTAAGTATATAACCTTTAGAAATGCTCTTATTGCTTAAGTACTGTAAACGTATCAATAAAACATTATTTCTATGAAATAAGGAAATGACTTTATCACATTTACCCATTGGTTTTTAATCTATTTTTTTAATTTTAAATTTTTTCCCCAGATCTCTTACATGATCTCAGCATGGGCCAGAATGTGCAAAATCCTTGGAAAAGAATTTCAGCAGTACCTTCCAGTGGTTATGGGGCCTTTAATGAAAACGGCTTCAATTAAGCCTGAAGTAGCCCTTTTAGATAGTAGGTGTCTTTAGAAGGACCTATCGGTTGTAATAGTTCTCTCTTTGTTATTATTTGTCATATGCATTTGTTTTCTTTTCCGTTAATAGCCCAAGACATGGAGAATATGAGTGATGATGATGGTTGGGAATTTGTGAACCTTGGAGATCAGCAAAGCTTTGGTATTAAAACTGCAGGACTAGAAGAAAAATCAACTGCTTGCCAGATGTTGGTAAGAGAGCACTATTTTTACTAAACTTTTGTTTTACATCTTATATTTATATACATTTTATATGAGTGCTTTTAATAGCTGCTAAAGAAATTACTTTGGAGAGCCAGGAATATATTCCTTAAAAAGCAAAGTTTTCTTTCCATTTTAAAGAAATCATGTGGATAAACCTTTCATTATCAGTGCTGTTTTAAATAGCAAAAAACAGCAAATAGCCCAAATTCCTGTTAGCGGGAAGACGAATGATAAATATACAGCCATTACAAAGAGTTTAGAATATAAGCTACACAAGGGAAGGATTTTTGTTTGTTTTGTTCTTAGTCTATAGTAGGTGGCCATGAAATATTTTTTAAACAAATTAACAGAAGTGTGTTCATGCTATTTAATGTAAAACAAAACTGGTATGATTTCAATTGTGTAAAAAAATAGATACAGCAGGAAAATCAAAATGTTCAGTTATTATCCCTTATGGTGCTTATGGTGTGCGTATGTGTATTTAGTTCCTAGTTTTCTTTATAAGCATGCGTTTTAAAGTGAAGGATAATTATTTTATTTTATTTTATTTTATTTTATTTATTTATTTTTGAGATGGAGTCTCTCTTTTTCACCCAGGCTGGAGTGCAGTGGCATGATCTCGACTCACTGCAACCTCCATCTCCGGCGTTCAAGTGATTCTCCTGCCTCAGCCTCCTGAGTAGCTGGGATTACAGGCGCCTGCCACCACAGCCGGCTTTTTTTTGTATTTTTAGTAGAGATGGGGTTTCACCTTTTTGGCCAGGCTAGTTTTGAACTCCTGACGTCAGGTGATCCGCCTGCCTCGGTCTCCCAAAGTGCTGGGATTACAGGCGTGAGCCACCGCACCTGGCTAATACTTATTTTTAAAGTTAGATTTTAGAAATTATGGTATATTACAAATTTAGCAGTTAAGTAAACCTAAATAAAAGTTGCTTCAATTTTATTTTGTATTTATATTACATGTTCTAATTCATTTAAAAGTATATTTCTTATTGTCATCTACAATACTTAGTATCTATAAATTATAAACACTTTGGATTTTTGTGGGTTTTTTCCCCTCTCAACTGGAGAGCAAATACAAATAATAACATCTTAAAATAATCTTTAGATGTAGTAGAAGAGAATGAAACAATTAGGTTTTTTGGGGTTTCTTTTTGCTTTTTGAGACGGAGTCTCACTCTGTCGCTCAGGCTGGAGTGCAATGGCTTGACCTCAGCTCACTGCAACCTCTGCCTCCTGGGTTCAAGCGATTCTCCTACCTCAGCCTTCTGAGTAGCTAGGATTACAGGCGTGCACCACCATGCCTGGCTAATTTTTTGTATCTTTAGTAGAGGCAGGTTTTCACCACGTTGGCCTGGTTGGTCTCGAACGCCTGACCTCGCGATCCGTCTAATTCTGTCACCCAGGCTGGAGTATAGTGGCACGATCCCAGCTCAGTGCCACTTCTACCTCCTGGGTTCAAGCGATTCTCCTGCCTCAGCCTCCCAAGTAGCTGGCGTTACAGGCAGCCGCCACCATGCCTGGCTAATTTTTTTATTTTTAGTAGAGATGGGATTTCACTGTGTTGGCCAGGCTGGTCTTGAACTCCTGACCTCGTGATCTACCCGCCTCGGCCTCCCAAAGTGCTGGGATTACAAGCATGAGCCATCGGGCCCAGCCATGATTTTTTAAAAATACAAAATAACAGAAGCCTGTTTGCTACACATTTACAAAGTAAATGCTACAATTAACTGATGGGTTGGGGAAGGGGTGATGTGTCTTTTAGAATGATTTTTCCTCTAATAAGTGATACATTTTGTTCGATGTATTGGCTAAAACTTGCTGAATAGAATATGAATGATTCCAGCCTTGGAAAGACAATGTATATGACAATAATTTCCTTTTTTTTTCTTTTTGTCACTCACCAATACTACAATCATTTCATGACCCTTTTAATACTCTTTTTAGTTGGAAGACTAATTTGACAGTTCTACATGCAGCTTTAAATGTAGTTCTAGTCAAAGTACAACCTCCTATGGTCCTTAATGATTTTGCTGTTTGTTAATATTAATGCTTGAAAACTAACATGAATCTTTATTTCCTCCCAATACTTTGGTTACAGGTTTGCTATGCTAAGGAGTTAAAGGAAGGCTTTGTGGAGTACACCGAACAGGTTGTCAAACTGATGGTCCCTTTACTGAAGTTTTATTTCCACGATGATATCCTACAACCTTTGAATACAAAACGTGTAGATTTAGTAAAGTTGTTTCTTGGAGTATTAGACAGTGTTCACTGAAGTAGACATCACCATGATTGTATTTGCACTAACTGTGCTTCAGGGTGATAAACTCGGTCCTCTGCGTGTGCCTTTGTTTCCACTTGTGCCAAAACATGAAAAAGAAAATGTCACCTATCCTCTGTTTGTCAGCTTTCTGTGGCCCACTTAAGGATTTAAGGATAAATAATTAGCAAATGATTAGAATTATATATAGTTGCTACTTTCCCCAAATATCTTTTGGTAAACGTTAAGAAAATAAGAGTTTTATTTTAAAAGATGGTGTCTCACTCTGTCACCTAGGCTGGAGTGCAGTGGCGTGATCAGGACTCACTGAAACCACAACCTCCCAAGTAGCTGGGACCTACGTGCACAACACCGTGCCCAGCTATATTTTTATTATTATTTTGTAGAGATAAGGTCTCCCTGTGTTGCCCAGGCTGGTCTCAAACTCCTAGGCTCAAGCAATCCTCCTGCCTTGGCCCCACAAAGTTACGGGATTAAAGGCGTGAGCCACTGTGCCTGGCAAAGACCTGTCTTAATAGATTAGAGAACCAGCGATAGATAGTCAACTTTCTGTAGCAGTGAGAATCCTCCATTTCCAATGTGGATAGCACCTTTGGGGGAAACGTCGCTTGGTACATCTGCATTCTCTTTTGAGACAGAGTCTCACTCTGTTGCCCAGGCTGGAGTGCAGTGGCACGATCTCAGCTCACTGCAACCGCCACCTCCCAAGTTCAAGTGATTCTTCTGCCTCAGCCTCCTGAGTAGCTGGGATCACAGACATGTGCTACCATGCCCAGCTAACTTTTGTTTTTTGTTTTGTTTGTTTGTTTTTTGTTTTTAGTAGAGACGGGTTTTCACCACGTTGGCCAGGCAGGTCTCGAACTCCTGACCTCAGGTGATCCACCCTCATCTGCATTCCAATATCCTTCTTAACATAATAGTAGTCGTAATTAATATTTTCTGGTACATTTTTATGTCTTTACACACAAGAGAATGTTAGAGCCCAGACACAAACCCCGATCTCTCTGACTCCAAAGCCCCTTTGTCATCATTCCTCTTACGATATCCTATAGTGGTGTCCTTTACAGAAGACAGCTTTTACCCCACGAAGACTTACTTCCCAGGATGCCAGAGGACAAAGTGAAATTGCATTTAAGAGGAAGTTATCAAGACCTTATTTTGTAAATGAGATTAGATAGGGAAAGACAATTTAATCTTTATTGAAAACTGAAAAGGCCAGCATAGGAAGAGGTCCTCGGTAGTTTTTTTCAGGGAAATGCTTCAGTTGCATTTATTAGAAACATACTACCTGAGGTTTTGAGGTGGGTACACCTTGAGGCATGCTAATGGTCATGGGTCCTTTCATAGTCATTTTTGTATTTTGGTTTACATTTGAGCAGTAGGCAGCCCTTCACTGCTGCTGGACTTATTCCTGCCACTTTTATAGGTGACAGGAGACGGGAGGTATGTCTTTTCTATTTTTATACATGCTTTATATTTAACACAAGCTCTTGGATATCTTAGATAAACAGAAGTTGCCTAGCACTCCTATTAATGCATTGAACCCTTTAACATTTAAGTGAAATAATAAACAGTCTTTTGAGGTTCCTTAACAATGAAACGTGTTCGAGTGGCAGCAGCAGAATCCATGCCTCTTCTCCTGGAGTGTGCAAGAGTCCGTGGTCCTGAGTATCTCACACAGATGTGGCATTTTATGTGTGATGCTCTAATTAAGGCCATTGGTACAGAACCAGATTCAGACGTCCTCTCAGAAATAATGCATTCTTTTGCAAAGGTGAATATTTTTCTCTTAAAAAATATGTATAAGGTAGTATGTTCATTTATTAGTCTTGCTAAAAGTTTAAAAAAATTTTTTTTTGAGACAGAGTATTACTCTGTTACCCAGGCTGGAGTACAGTGGCACAGTCGCAGCTCACTTGAACCTTCGCCTCCTGGGTTCAAGCAATTCTCATGCGTCATCCTTCCAAGTAGTCGGGATTACAGGGATGTGCCACCACACCTGCTACTTTTCGTATTTTTGGTAGATGTTCCCCAGGCTGGTCTCGATCTCCTGGCCTCAGGTGATCCTCCTCGGCCTCCCAGAGTGCTGGGATTACAGGTGTAGGCCAGCTAAATAAATTTGTATATGCTGTAGTGTATGATTTTTTTAAAAATAAAAATGTTAAATTTTTTGTTTTAATATTTTGGTATTATGTTTCTTTTAAAGAGGGTAAATTTGCCTTGGAAGGACAGTATAGGTAGAGGGAATGATACAGACAACGGCACGAAAGCATGCGTTCTTTGGAAAAAGAGAAGAAATTCTGAATAGTATTTTAGTCTTGTACTTAATAATCCAACTACAGAAGCTTGGGTATCATCTCTAGTTTCTGTTCTTTCTACTTTCCTCAGTTCCTCTGTTTTTTTTTTCATTGCCCCATCTCTTTCTCATGCCGTTGAAATAGCCCTCTTGGTCTGCTCCAGATCTCTCCTTTCTTTTGCTCTCAGTTCGTTCTGCTTTCCTCAAGCACTGCCTTGCTCTTCATTGAGTCACTTCCTTTCTCATACAGTGTCATCCCATTTTGCACACCTGTAGTTTGCTCCAATCTTGATTGAAGATTTACAATTTCTCAGCATCTTTATGTATCCTTATTTACACTCTTATAATTCAGAATTCCTTCTGTTTTTCCGAAGAAAGCATGCTTCCATACCTTTGCCTATATTATTTCTTCTACCTCTAATACCCTTCCTTCAGTGTTCTTGTATGTTGTGTGTACCGAGTATGGATATAGCGGTTGTGTTCCTTAGGAGCTGGTGTGTGTGTATGCATGTGTGTGTTCCATCTTTGAATCGTCAGTACCTGGCATGATGCCTGGCACCTAGGTGTGCTCAGTAATGTTTAAAAGAAAATGTTTTTTCTAACTCCAATCTCTACAACGCTGTCATTCTAACAAATACAAGCTAAGCATATTTAAATAACTAATCTTTCAGGATCTGAACTGTGTTCATTTTTCCGTATGATTCTTAGTGAAGTTTAACTTTAGACTTTCAACACCCCTAATCTTATGGATTGTTTTCTTTTCTCAACCTCATTAGTGCATTGAAGTAATGGGAGATGGATGCCTTAATAATGAACACTTTGAAGAACTAGGAGGTATATTGAAAGCAAAGCTTGAAGAACATTTTAAAAATCAAGAATTACGACAAGGTAAGTTTTACATGCTTTTATTTCTGAATACAAACCTTGACCATTTTGGTGATCATTTAAAAACATTTATTTGGGTGTGTTTTAGTTAAAAGACAAGATGAAGACTATGATGAACAGGTCGAAGAGTCACTACAAGATGAGGTAAATTTTTCCCTTTGGAACTTACTTCCATGACTACTTGCATCTGAAATACTTGTAAATGCCTCAGTTTCTGATTTATGTGACTTGTCATTCTGATGTAATTATCAGTCTTTAGCAGAGGAATTGGATATATTTCCCCTCTTAATTTATGAATGAGTAATCTGAAATTAAACTGGTATGTTTTTTGGTGCTATGTGCATTTTGTTGTAATACCTCACTCAGCAAAACACCTTGAGGTTTTCCTAGTTCATTTACATACTGCTCACAACAACCATTTGTATTTTGTGGTGCTTTCACTGTTTTAAAGATGAGTAACCTAAAATTCCAGTGTGAAATGATTGCCCAGAGTCACACTATTGACCGTCTGGGGCCTTTTTCACCAGGTTACTTAGTTCTCTCATCAAACCACCTAGGACTGTCAGGCATACTTCATTGTGTGTTTAGAGTCCAGCATCTCATCTGTGGCTGCTTGGTGGGCCAGTGCTACCATGTAGGTAGTACCAGCTTCCTGAAGGTGCCCACATGCTTGTAGGCCCAAATTGCCACTAACAGCAAGACCCCATTCTCCCCACCATCCACCCCGAAATGAGGATTATTCTGCTGAAAACAAAGTAAAAATAGTAAAAACACCTTCATTTCAGAATGTAGAAATTAGAGATAATTTTTCAACCCATCTATTTTAATTATGTTCTGAGGAAAATCTTTGCAGTAAATACAGTTCTTGCCACACACCTTTGTCTTTCCAAGTAAGACTGGCCTTTGATTAGTAAGAGACATGATAACCCACCCTTGACTTCAGTCTCTAGACTCTTGATTTACCCTTAATTCAGGAATGAGAAATTGATTTTCTGCATTTTTTAAGGTTTTTATAAATGTTACTATTGATGATAGAAAATATACTTTTTAATCCATATGGGTGTGTGTGTGTGTGTGTGTGTTTTTTTCTAGGATGATAATGATGTTTATATTCTGACCAAAGTGTCAGATATTTTACATTCAATATTCAGTAGCTACAAAGAAAAGGTATTACCATGGTTTGAACAGCTGCTTCCGTTAATTGTCAACCTCATTGTAAGTGTTACCTTTCTTAGTAGTTGTTTTGGATAGTTAACCTAGAATTGTTTTCATTGCAGCATAAAATCTAATGCTTGAAGTTAAAATGGGTCTCAGAAATGATTGTTTCCATTGTACATCTTTGATTTTATCAAGTTGACTGCATTACCCTGGATATTTTCTCATTCATTGTATGCTTGAAGATTCCTACCTTAGTTTTCCATAGGCCAATTCAGTTCTAACACATCTGAAAGACATACAAGTGATTTTTTTTTTATTATTTCAGATTATATATGCCCTCCTAAATTAATAAAAGGAAACAGAATGGTTACTTCTTTTTTAGTGGACCATAGATAATTCAATTATCTTTGTTATGTACTACCAGCAATCATGGATTATGGATAATGGGCTTTCATATATATATATATATATATATATATATATACACACACACATTTTTTTTTTTTAAACCTTCTCTCACGCATATATTTGATGTTTTAAAAAATGTTTTATAGACTTTTGTTTATTTGTTTTTCTCAAGATAGAGTCTTGCTCTGTCGCCCAGGCTGGAGTGCAGTGGCGCGATCTCGGCTCACTGCAGCCTCCGACTTCTGGGTTCAAGCACTTCTCCTGCCTCCACCTCCCGAGTAGCTGGGATTACAGGCGCACGCCACCACGCCCAGCGAATTTTTTGTATTTTTAGTAGAGATGGGGTTTCACCATGTTGACCAGGCTGGTCTCCAACTCCTGACCTCGTGATCCACCCGCCTTGGCCTCCCGAAGTGCTAGGATTATAGGCATGAGCCACTGCTCCCAGCTCTAGACTTCCTATTTTAAAGCAGTTTTAGATTTACAACCAAATTGAACAGGAGGTACAGAGATTTCCCACGTGCCTGTGCCCCCATGCATGTATGGCCTCAGCACCATTAACACCCCCCATCACGGTAGTAGATACATGTGTTTCCATTTATGGGCCTACATCAACACATCATATAATGGCCTGTTCAGTTTTTTGGGGGTTTTTTTTTGTATCTTTAGTTGTGTTTTTTTGTTGGTTTTTAGTAGAGACGGGGTTTCATCATATCGGCCAGACGGGTCTCAAACTCCTGACCTTGTGATCCGCCCGCCTTGGCCTCCCAAAGTGCTGGGATTACAGGCATGAGCCACCGCACCCAGCCATGTATTGGGTTTTTTAAAAATATATTATAAATTAGCAGCTGTCATCAAATGTTTGGAATTTTTCTTTTTGGCTTTCAATTTTGCATTTTATTATATTAAGTAGTACATTACATTTTTAAAAAGATTCAGGCACACATGACTTAGCCTGTTGAATAAATGCTATATGTTAAGATCTTTGCAGCTTTTATTATTATTGTATTTTTTTAATGTAGCATTACCATTGTCTTTTTTACAAAGTAGATTTATATACAATGCTGCCACCGTCAGTTCTTCTGTGTGATAGTGTCAGATTGTAGAGTTCTGTAACAAATCACACATGTCTTTGAAACCTTAATTTTATTAAATCTGTGTATTTGATTGAATATCATTGGTCACAAGAAGTGGTTGTTACTATGTTTTCTTTTTTCTTTTGCCTATATCAGGAATATCAATGTAAGCAGATAGTCTATAGTGAATATTTCTTTACATTCTTTGTGTACACCAGTATTTGAAGCTTAAAAGAGAATTTCTTTTGTAGTGTCCACATAGACCATGGCCAGACAGACAATGGGGATTATGCATCTTTGATGATGTCATAGAACACTGTAGTCCAGCCTCATTTAAATATGCAGAATATTTCCTAAGACCAATGCTCCAATATGTATGTGACAACAGCCCAGAAGTCAGGCAAGCAGCTGCATATGGCCTGGGAGTCATGGCACAGTATGGTGGAGATAATTATCGCCCTTTTTGTACAGGTACCTTTGCTTATTCAGTTACATGCATTCCAGACATCCTGTGTATCCCTACTTTACTCTTTACCACACTCCCAAACATTATTTGCCTATTTCTGCTGTAGTCTGTTTTCAAACATCTCATCTGTAGCATTTAGGATTTTAGATGATAAAAAGATATGATTTATTCTCATAGAAATAGAATCAAAGGCATCCCCTGCCCCCAGCCTTCCGGGGTGCATTTCTCTTTGCGTTTTGGTGATATACAATCGCCTTAGAATAGGAATTTTTTTTTTTTTTAATTGAGACACGGAGTCTTGCTCTGTCATCCAGCCTGGAGTGCAGTGGTGCAATCTCGGCTCACTGCAACCTCTGCCTCCCGGGTTCAAGCTGTTCTCCTGCTTCAGCCTCCTGAGTAGCTGGGACTACAGGCACCCGCCACCACAGCTGGCTAATTTTTTCTGTTTTTAGTAGAGACGAGGTTTCACCGTGTTAGCCAGGATGGTCTCGATCTCCTGACCTTGTGATCGGCCCACCTCAGCCTCCCAAAGTGCTGGAATTAGAGGCATGAGCCACCATGCCTGGCAGAATAGGACTTTTAAAACTTATTGGGGATTATAGTTAAGCAGCTTTTAAAGCTGAAGTACCCTCGCGTGATGTGGTGAGTACTATAAATCTGGAGGCCACTAATCTCTCTGGGTCTCTAAGTTAGTAGAGGACTAGTGCTCCTGTCCGTGCTGTGGCAGTCCCCCCTGTTACCATTCTGTAATGACATAGCCAAGAAGACAACACTTCCCATACATTTTAACATTTCTTTACCATAATCAATATCTGGACCAAAAACAAAAATATGTATATTCATTTGCATGAAAATGTGAGATTTTAGCTGAACTTCTTTGAAATGCTTATTTTAGAAGCACTTCCCCTGCTGGTAAGAGTTATTCAGTCTGCGGATTCTAAGACCAAAGAAAATGTCAATGCTACAGAAAACTGCATCTCAGCAGTAGGGAAAATCATGAAGTTCAAGCCTGACTGTGTAAATGTTGAAGAGGTCCTTCCACACTGGTTGTCTTGGCTTCCACTACATGAAGATAAAGAAGAAGCTGTTCAGACTTTCAATTATCTGTGTGACCTGATTGAAAGGTAAGAAAGCAGACTGTGACCTTATTTCCTTCCCCTCCACAGTGCTTCCTGATTTTTCTTGTTTAACATCAGTCTTTTAAGGTTTAACCGATGATCTCTGCACAGTCCTCAGTTGGATAGGTTTATAACAGTGCTGTCTTTATAAGTCATATTAAGAAACCATATCACGGTTAACATTGCCCTTATAATAAGGTATAATTTTGAGTTATTCTTTATGAAATTAGATTCAACAGATGAGGCACTTTAATTATTTATTTCTGTATTTTTAAATTTTTTTGGTAGTGACAAGGTCTTAACTGTTTTGCCCAGGCAGGTCTCAAACTCTTGGCCTCAAGATATTCTCCCACCTCAGCCTCCCAAAGTGCTGGGATTACAGGCATGAGCCACCAAACCTGGCCTAAGGGCATGTTGTTTAGTGTCTGTTTTCTAAGTCCAAGTTCCCCCCAAATATAATCAGATCTAAGCTCTGTCACTATTGATTATTATTTTTAGGTTATGAATAAATTTAAGGGCTACAACCAGTGGAGTTTGTAGCAATAGGCCAACAGGCATATTCTCCATACTTGTTTTAAGTTCAAGTTCACATAAGAAATGGGTTTGAGTCTTCCACTGAGTACATCATTAAGGAATGTAACAGCCATCCTGCAGACTACGTGCTCCTGACCTGCTCCTGCATCTGAAATGACCAGGTCTTAATTATGCTATTTGATCATCTCCCTTGAAAACGACTACTCTGAAATTCTCTTAGTGACAAAGACTAGAATTCTTAAATTCACTGTTAGGTTTTTTCCTGTTAAACTTGCCTGAGTTTATTTCCCAGTTTGTTCTTGAAATGTTTATATAATTTTTTTGAACTTCAGAGTTATTTTAGAAGCAATTTTGTAGTAGCAAAATAAAATTTGTGTTAAGAAACTTATTCTTAGTAATACAATACATTTTTTTAAGACATCACAAATTATTTATAAGGTATTTGGAGCATTCTGTTGTGTTTGGCCCTTAAAACAATCCTGAGAGATGAGTCCAGTATTTTTTTTTTTTTCTTATTTAGGAAGAAACTAAAGAGTTCATATGTAAGAATGGCTGGTTTTCTTAGTGAACACATAATCATATTTCTCCTTATAAATTTCACTTACTAAGGTTTTCTTCTTGTTTGTCAGTAATCATCCAATTGTTCTTGGCCCAAACAATACCAATCTGCCCAAAATATTTAGTATAATTGCGGAAGGAGAAATGCACGAGGCAATTAAACATGAAGATCCTTGTGCCAAACGTCTGGCCAATGTCGTTCGCCAAGTACAGGTAAGCTGATTTGGTTGAATTGTGAAAGGGGAGAAAAAGCCTTTTTGTCTTTATATTCCTCTATGAGAAGAAACTAGAAATCTAATAGCTAAGGGAATTTTATTTTTATATTTTCATAGTCTCTTCTCTGTAAGCCTCAAATGGATTATACTTAATGTAATCCATCCATATGTTCTTATTATTTATTAGAATTAAAACCTTCAGCTTAGGACATTATGAGCCTACCAGTTGGTGCTTAACACAAGCTTATTATGTGTAGTTTTTCTGCCTATCTGAAGAAAAAAACTGAGATGTAATAACAACTTGGCACCTGCCAAGAAACTTTATAGATGATTTTTACTTCCTATATTCATGTGGTATATGGGTTACTTTAAGATGTTACCTGCTTTGTGTAGCTTTATCAATGCAAAAATGAAGAAACCTTACTGTAAATGAAATGAACTTTAAAAAAATGAACAGATTTCTTGCTTTTACAATGATACTCATCAAAATAAACTACCTAGGGAGAAGGTATTTTGGCATTATTACAGTCTACCTATGATGATGATTAAAATCCTTCCAAATGAGCATTTTGCCATGTCTAAGTCTCTGAACATGTTTCTTTCCCTAGACTTCTGGAGGACTGTGGACTGAGTGCATAGCACAGCTCAGTCCTGAGCAGCAGGCCGCCATTCAGGAGCTCCTGAACTCTGCGTGAAGGGCCTTAATGTCACCCACCAGAAAACTAACTCCAAATAAACGCTTACCCTTTCGTTTAGGTTTCTTTGTTTTGTTTTTGAGCAAAAGAGAGCGGTAGTGTTGTGTGTAGGCCATTCTGGAGAGCCATGAGCAGGAAGAGCAGCGCTGTGTTGCAGAATGGAGTTTCCATGGATTTCTACCAGACCAGTGAAGGAGTTCCTGGAAGCCCTGCAGTAGCACTGAAGAGTATTTTTCTATTGGTATAACCCACCCACCTGAAGGGGAAAGGGAAATCAAATTAATTTTTCTCGTTAGACATAAGGAAATTTAAGGAAAAACAGCTTTAAGAACAGTTACTCAGCGTAGATGTGTGTTCACACAGATTGCTCTGCACTCAGTGTTCATTGTTAATTGGAGTGTGAGTCTTTCTGTAGGGTAGAAAGAAGCCTACTACCCAGCAAACCACTAGACCCAAAAGTTGAAAAAAACTGATGACAGACAACAAGCATGAAGATGGCATATTTGATGTCACTTTGGTTCTTTTTCCCAGAAGGCTTATACAGTGACTCAGTCGGGAAGCTTTCCAGCTTCCAGCCCTTGAATGTGAAGTGTCATTGGCATGTCTGGCAGTAGTCTCTTATTCACTCCTCAATAAACAACATTGAATACAAAAGAGGCTTGTGTAAAAACTCAGTACTGTCTGGCTTGGATTCATTTCATGTTTTTACTATAAGAATGATCTAATATTTTTTTAAAGTAATAGCTATCAGTAATAGCTGAGTGTTTTTTCCCCTAATATTTTCCTTGTGCAGTTCAGTCTTAAGCATCGAGTTTTTACCATCTTCCACTGTAAGCTAAGTTATGATACCTATTCCATTCACAATTGGTGTTCTTTTTAAGGTTTGCAAATTTCAGCCAGTTTTGTAGCTAGGATTGTTCTGATTAGCTCAAAAAGATTTGGCTTAGTGTTTTCATTGCAAATTATAATTGCTGTAGAGCCACACACAACTTTTGAACTTATAAGTATTATGGCTAAAGTTATTTGCTGAAAATTTCAGTAAAATGTGTGAATGTTTCTTTATGTATTAACCTCATAGCAGTAAATGACTTACTGTTGTTTAATTTTTCTAAGGCATCTTAATAGACTTCTGTTGAAAACTTCAGTGTTAACATTTTTATAGTTTGTACTAAATTTAACCGTGATATAAAAATGAATTTTATGCATAGATCAGAATTTTAAATTAAAGGTTTTTTCTTTAAATGATTTGTATTACTTTATTAAAACTAAATCTGAAATGGAATAGAAAATAGAATGGATTACATACAGATGGTTTACTTGTTAGCAGATGCCCTTCAAATATATTTTCCGTTTGCAGCACAACACCATTGCCTGGAGGCTTCCAAATCTAGCAAAACAAAATATTAAATGACTTCACCTGCGCAGTCCTTGGTTTCAGTGGATGGATACCTGTGGGCTCTTGTAATGTGTGTGGTAATATTTGGAGCTTTATAGCCTGTATTCCTTGGGAGAAAAAGATGGGAATTGGAGTAAAAAATGTGTCAAGACAACCCATTTCTGCTTTCTTATGTAGCATCTGCAAAGCCGATTCATGTACTGATGCCAGTCAGCTAGAGCAATGTAGGTTTTTTAAATTTAAATTATGACTACACTTTATTACTACACTTTCAGAAAAGAAACATGTTGAAAACATGGCATACCTGCAGGAGTTGAAATGACAGTGTGGTCAGAGGATGTGTTTGGGAGAAGCTAGTGTTTGCTGGGCACCGCGCTAAGTGCTTTGGGAGCAAGAACTTCCTACCTTCCAGTTTAAACACTAGTGGTATTGTCAGCCGCTCACACCTGAGATGGACTTAGAGCAAGGTTCTAAGAGCTCTGAAAGAAGTGCTCTGTTCGATGCAGACTGGCAACATCCTCCTTGATAAAAGCAGAAAAGCAAAGAGGTAATTGTAGTTGAATCAAGTTAATAGGGAAGGTTGGTAGTAAATGCTGTTAGTGTGACATGATTCTGAAATCCAGAGCTCAGAACTAACTGCAAAATGTACCATGAACTAACAATTCTTTGAAAGGACTTGGAGAAGCATTTTTAATACCTCATTCTGTCTATGCAAGATGAAAATTCGTGGAGTTTTTTTCTTGACTTTTGTACCAAATTTAGGGGTCTTGATGTCAGCAAGTGATATATATTGTTTATAAATGCAAGCTGTTTCTGGAGGGAAAAAAATGTGTGTGGCTCTTAGATTTTCTGGGAATTTTGTAACAAGTACACGCACAAGTGTTAGAATCTTTCGCATAACTCAATTTGGAGTATTTTTTAAATGCTGTATCTTTAAAGAAAAGTAAAATTGTCTTAAAGCTAATTTGACACTTCTGTAATCAGAGGCAACCTTATAATTCTGGAGTTATAGTTTGACAGAACCATCAGTAAAGACATAACCAAATAAATGGTCTTGGTGCACCTGGTCTGATGATAAAAAAGGGGGGAGCTTACTTACAATCTTGCAAGCATTATATTTTTATAATCTAATCTTTTGAGTGGGTGCCTGTTTAAGCAACTTGAAAGGCTCAGGAGCTAGGTAAATGTTTTACTTAATTGCTTCATTCTGCCTAGGAGTATTGTTGCATCAGTTTTCTGTGTTGCACAGAAATCACCTTGCGGGCCGGGGTCGGTGGCTCACACCTGTAATCCCAGCACTTTGGGAGGCCAAGGCAGGTGGATCACCTGAGGTCAGGAGTTGGAGACCAGCCTGGCCAACATGGTGAAACCCCATCTCTACTAAAAATACAAAAAGTAGCCTGGTGTGGTGGCAGGTGCCTGTAATCCCAGCTACTCGGGAGGCTGAGGCAGGAGAATCACCTGAACCCGGGAGGCGTGCAGTGAGCCAAGATTGTGCCACTGCACTCCAGCCTGGGCAACTGGGTGAGACTCCCATCTCAAATAAAAATTAAAAAAAAAAAAAAGGAAATTACTTTGCTTCTCTTAACCTTCTTTGCCACAAAAGATTAACAGCCAAAACCTGCCATGTTTGCTATTCCTAAGCAGATTTTCTTTCTCAGCCCTAAAAGTATGAGTACCACTATATTAGAAGAAGAAAATGAATGACCCGCAATGTATGCACATCACACTTGGGAGGAACCTTGGATATTTACTTCCAGCACTTGGGACTTCTGAAGGGTGATGCTGGGGAGTAGGGGTTAATTCTAACAACATTCTACCCTAGACTTGCACCCTTTTTCCCCACACAACTGTAATCCTTCCAGTGTATGCCAGGACAACATTTGGGCTGATTATTTCTATGTATTTATTATATTTGAATGGATGAATACAAACATTTTAAAGATAAATTGTAGCTAAATTACTCACTTCTCAAAATGAATCCAGAAGTGGTACAATAATTTTTTGGTAAAACATTACAAAATTTTTTTTTCTAAATTCCACTAAGGCAGCAGAGTATAATTCTGCAATGTGTTCTTTCATAATTCAGGATCTTTCATTGTGTATTTCCTCTTGATCTATCATTTCTGTCCTCTTGACTAGCATTCAGATTGTAATGGAAACCAGAATAGTGCCACTTGCTATGAATCAGAAATTTGTTCCCCTGTTTCCTTAGAAGTTTTGTAACACATGGGTAGAAAATGTAAGAGTTTGGATCAGCCCGACAACTTGCTCCTGTGATTTTTTTTTTTTTTTTTTTTTTTTTTTTTTTTTGAGACGGAGTCTCGCTCTGCTGCCCAGGCTGGAGTGCAGTGGCCGGATCTCAGCTCACTGCAAGCTCCGCCTCCCGGGTTCACGCCATTCTCCTGCCTCAGCCTCCCGAGTAGTTGGGACTACAGGCGCCCGCCACCGCGCCCGGCTAGTTTTTTGTATTTTTTAGTAGAGACGGGGTTTCACCGTGTTAGCCAGGATGGTCTCGATCTCCTGACCTCGTGATCCGCCCATCTCGGCCTCCCAAAGTGCTGGGATTACAGGCTTGAGCCACCGCGCCCGGCCTGCTCCTGTGATCTTAAGGTACACCTTAAAAGATCATGGTGCTATGTGCTTATGACCAGAGGTTGGCAAATGTGTTCTCTGAGTTCGAGATAGTAAATATTTTAGCGCTCATCACCGAACAGTATGTGTTTGCGAGCCATAGGGTCTCACAAACCACTTAGCCATTGCATAGCCGTTGCAGTACGAAAGCAGCCGTGGACCATAGTAAACAAATGGGTTTGGCTATATCCCAGTGAAACTTGACCAAGACAGGCTAGCCATAGCTGTTGAACTCTGAATAAAATCACTGCGTCGGTTAAAAAATCCCAGTCTGCCATGTACTCAGCTTACCTAAACGCTGTATGCCTTAGTTTCCTTCTCTGTAAAATGGGAACAATAATAGTACATACCTTATAGAGTATTGAAACGGATTTAGAAGCCAGGCACATTAAGCATGGGCTGTCAGAATTACACCTCAGTTCTATTAATACTTCCAGATAATTTAGGCAAACTTTTTTTTTTGAGATGGAGTCTCCCTCTGTTGCCAGGCTGGAGTGCAGTGGCACGATCTCGGATCACTGCAACCTCCACCTCCCAGGTTCAAGTGATTCTTGTGCCACAGCTTCCTGAGTAGCTGGGACTACAGGTGTGAGCCACCATGTCCAGCTAATTTTTGTATTTTTCATAGAGACAGGGTTTCACCATGTTGGCGAAAATGGTCTCTGTCTCTTGACCTCGTGATCTGCCTGCCTCGGCCCGCTAAAGTGATGGGATTACAGGTGTGAGCCAGGGCACCCGGCCGCAAGCTTTTTTTTTTTTTTTTTTTCAAATTCTCTAATCAGCCTTGGCATTGGGAGGAAGCCTAGAAAGTTGTGGAAAATACCGGGAAACTTTGCAAAGTCAGTGAAGTTGTACCATAAATGTGGTGTGTGTGGACTATTTTACTTTCTTGACACTGTGATTGTGGTGTTTGAAGATGCCTGATCTGCATAAGACATGGCCCTAAATGCACCCATTGCCTCATCTGGAGCTCCACCCTAAAAAGCAGCAGTCTGTCCCTGTTTGGAGAAGACATTCAGACAGTTTGCTGCAAGAGCTGGTTTGTTCAGTACACTGAACTGTAGGTCACCAGGGACTTTTGCCCCCATGCTGACATGGATCTGGCATCTGTAGGATGAGATCACTGTCGAGGCCATTGTACAGGAGTAGACAGCTGGAAGGCTTTGCCCCCTGGGTCACACTTCCTGCCTGGCTGTGGCCCCTTGCGGGAGCTCCTTAATCTCTTATGTAAAACAAAGTTAACAGCTACCACACAGGGTTGTTGTAAGGCTTAATATATGTATAAGCACCTAGAGCAGTGCCTAGCATTGTAGATTTGCTATTATGAGTACACATGCTGAAGAGATGGAAGTACATTTGGATAGCATTTCTTGTTGTTAGTGTCAACCTAAAAGAGGATCCCTAAGAAGAAAAGATGTTTATTTGGGAGTAGAGCATTGCAATGGGAATGTGCATGCCATCATAGGTGATGAGTATATTCAGGAAGAAAAAGGTTTTTGTGGGGTTTTTTTGGTTTTGTTTACTTTTGTGATGACAGAGTGTTCCTATGTTACCCAGACTGCTCTTGAACTCCTGGGCTTAAGTAGTCTTCCTGCTTCAGCTTCCCAAAGTGCTGAGATTACAGGCGAGAAGAGAAAGGTTTATAAAGGAAGAAATGAGGATTACATCATTGTTTTGAGATAATTATCCCTGACTGCACAGGTCAGTAACAAGGGTGATGTCAGTCCAAGGTTGACAAACAGTTGGATGTGTGTGCTTGCAGAAGTATTTTTTGTGAGACTGCAATGGCCTTTGTGCAAAGTCATGATTTTTGTGATCTTTGTCATGCATACAAATATGAGAACCCTCTCTTTATGACCTTCTCCAGCCGTTTGTCTGGGTGTTCTTAACATTAGTGATTCCTTTTTTTTTTTTTTTTTTGAGGAGTCTTGCTCTGTCACCCAGCCTGGAGTGCAGTGGCGCGATCTTGGCTCACTGCAACCCCCACCTCCCGGGTTCAAGCGATTCTCCTGCCCCAGCCTCCTGAGTAGCTGGGATTACAGGCATGTACCGCCATGCCTGGCTGATTTTTGTATTTTTAGTAGAGATGGGGCTTCACTATGATGGCCAGGCTGATCTTGAACTTCCAACCTCAGGTGATCCACCCACCTCGGCCTCCCAAAGTGCTGGGAGTACAGGGTGAGCCACCAAGTCTGGCCTAGTGACTCCATTTTGATTCTGACAATTTTCAAATTAGTTACCTATGTCATAAAACATGCAAACCATGGAAAATGGAAGTACTTGCTAACCAAGAATTTGATTGACTTTTGTTAAGCTATGTGACCAAAACTGTGTTAGGCTTGCATGATAAAGGGCCAAGTAAAACACATGGTCTGTGCTACAGGGGGCACATCATTAAGGAAAAGTAAAGGGTGCACTGGGTGTACCCTTTGATGAAGAAATCAAAGTAAATTCACTTAATATTGCAAATAGGATGTGCGTTGAGCTGCTTCAATTTCAGCATTATAGCAAACTGCACCA